CGAACGCCGATGACACTTTCCACTTTGTAATTTTATTCTCCTCTGACCCCTTATGCGCGTCGACCGAGGTGCAGTGGAACGAGAAATTATAGGATCGGACACGGTCCCTCGCGCGCGACAGCCGACTCGTGAAAAATAACGACCCTTCGTCGTTTGAAAAAATTTTATTTCATGGAACGGACGAACGATCCGTCGTACGAATCGTCGGTGAAATCGTTCATCGTACGACTCTCACTACCTGGCTTCGTCGGACGATCGGAACTACGCGCAGTCTCGCGAAGGTGCAATTTCTCAAATAGACTCGTTCATCGAACGTGACCGGTGTCATGAAGGCGCGCGAGTATCCTTGGAGTTCGTTTAGGTGGGACGGGAGGACCGGGGACCGGAGGCATGAATGGCGAGAAACGTGGAAGACGTTGGGAGAGGTCGGGAACTGATCGGGGAAACTTTTCCCTCACGCCGCCACCTACGCGACCCTTCTCTCTTTCTCCTTCGGCGTTGGTCCTTTCAGAACGACTTCGTGCCACCCACGCAACGTCGGCGTCGAGACACCCACCACTCGTCTACCGTTTCCCGACGCCCGGTGACCCACTTACAAGAGGATACCCCTTGCCGTTCAAGGCTACGCAGGACCCGGCCGACGCTCGCCGTCGTGCCGCCGACCCATTGATCCCTTCGCTCCCGAAAATTTCGTCCGAAACGAGACCTGCGCGAAAACTGCTCGAACCACGTTCGCTTCTTCGTTGTTATACCGACTCGCGCAATATCTATTTCTTTGGCATCGACTTTAAACAAATAAAATCCACGCGGCAAGATACGGCGCGAGTTCTCTCTCTCTTTCTCTCTATATGATCGAGAAACGTCGATCGAAATCGAGTGGAAGATGTGATGGTTGCCACTGTCGTCCCTAGTGACCTTTGATGACCCCTTGGACCAGTGGGGAACCAGGTGACCGACGCCCACGCGTCCGATCGACTCGTTTGTTATCGGATATTACGCGCTCGTTACCACGATTAGCACGCGACTCTATCAACGACCGTTTCGCGTTTTCTCCGCAATATCGATAGGACGACTCGACGATTCCCCCGGCATTAATACCGTTTATATCTCTCAACGCTGCTCTCGCCCATTATACCGACGCACATGCCAAATCATCGAACTGGCTTGTACAGTTTTACGAGACGTAAGGGGGGAACATGACCTCGATCGAACACGAATCAATTTCCGGCGACGACATATAAAACCGGAACACAGGAAATGATTATTTTCCGTGGCGAGGGCTTCTCAGTTTCCGGCTCGAGTAGCGAAACGCCTACGCGCAATTTTACGTGCCCGGCCACCTGTAGAACAAACAACGATCTTCGGGTTTCGAACGGGAGCGAGAACGAAGGCACGTGGACTGGTCGCATTGGTAGGGGATTATGTAAAAACTGTCTGGTCAAACGGGATAATTTAAAGCGAAGAAAATTACTGCCGGCGTGGCGACGGGAGTTACATCATTCGTTGGACCGCTGAGACAAGACCGTGCGATCCTTACGCGATCGTTTCAACGATTTAGCCCAATTCGTTTCGTAAACTCGGTTTACGACGCATCAGTGAATCAAGAAAAATGAATAGCTCAATGGACGTGGACGTGGACCTCGAGCACAGATCGAGAATGGGAACGAAACAATTCGGTACCGAGGACCACTGATGCTTAGTCGAGGTTCACCGGACGGGGTGCAGTCGCGGTCGCGGTCGCTGCTACGGTCACGACGGCAGTGGCCATCGACGTGCCGCCTAACGAAACAAGCGAACGAGTGGGTACCCGCAGAACGCGATCAATACTTCGCGTGCATCGCGCCGAGCACGAGTTCCCGTTTGTTTTCTTCTTCCCCGTTCCTACGACCCTGCCGCGAGTTCAATGAAACTTTTGAAAAATCGGTTTCCTTCCAAAGAGGCCTGATTCATCTGTGTCAAACTCGTTCGCCAGATCGGAGAGCCGGAAGAGCGGGGTGAAGAATAGAGTAGATATCGCGAGCCGTTCACCGGTGCGGCAAGAATCGGCGCAGGAAATTAGCTGTTCGCCACGGAACCGTTCGCCCAATCGGTCGACCGGATGATGTATCTACGCGCGGCAATTGTTCGCGTGCCAACATGATCGTAATTGTCGTAACCGAAATCTCGCGCAATTTTCACGCCGTCGGTCTAAATCTTCTCTCGGCGTCAAAATTCCACTCCACGCACCCTCTTCACGAGATCATTTTTAAGCCTCTTACGTCGTCGTCTGCTCTGTAAACGAAATCCGCGAACTGGGTATCGTGAGAAGCGAGGCGTCAGAGGACATGAGAGCGCAACGCACGAAAGTCGGTTTGGTCAAGATCGAATTCATATGAAGGGTCTCTAGAATCGGGGGGACGTCGCGTCGGTACGCTGAAACAGAGTATGTCCGAAAGGGACGAGAGAAACGGAGGTCGGCATGGGGGGGGGGGGGGGCCGAGTCGTATCTGGAGCAACGGTATCAACGTTCGGTAGCGTTCAGGTCCGAGAGAGGTCGAGCCGAGTTTGCACAGCAACGTAAACTTGGGCGACTGGCTGGCAGGTGGGTCACTGCGCGAGCGCGCACCGGAGCAAATCCGGCGAAATTCGATCAATTCGAGCGGCAGGAGGAAGAGAGGTTCGACGAACATTCGGGGGTGTAATCGAGCCGGCGGCGTGTCGGAACGAACGTACGGACAGACCCGACGGGGTGGCGGACCGGCCTAGAATCGACCAAGGAACCCGCCGAGTGCTCTCTTGACCCCGATATCCCCCGGGATACGTTTCCTTCCTTCGAGCGATCGAAACCCGACCTTGGCTCCGAGACCGATGCGCCCGCCCGGGCTCACTCGCCTTTCTTTCCCTGACCCACCACCCGACTCTCTGCCGACGACGTCCAGCTTCCTCTCCAAAACAGATATTGTTAGCTCCGCTGATATCGATTCGAAATTGCATAATAGAAATATTTTAGGCCCAGCTGTCCGAACGCTACGTCGTTCGACGAGATACCATGTACGTAGAAGACGATATCGTCCGAACGAGAGACGAAGAGCGTGGTTAAAAATCTTTTCTCTGAACGGTAATTTGCACGAACGTCCGCGTTGATCGGATCACGCGACAGGCAGATGCTTCCTGAAAGGCTCTCACGCGACCACGGAAGCAGAATGATTCGACTTTGATCAGAACCATGGAATCGAATTCAGTAGCAGCGCGCAGTCACGTAATTAACGGGAAAGTCGATCGACCAAACGTTCAACGAGATCTCTTGAAAACGAAACGAAAGACGGAAGATTTCTATATTTTCGTTCCCTTGCGAAGGTGTCTCACGTTCCAAGAGGCTCGTTCGATCGATCGACGTGTTCCTCCAGTTCGACGAATCACGACTGATCACTGCAACGCGTTTTGAAAGTACGCATCTAGACAGCGTTATTTTTAGTCGCTATCGATTCACCCTGGACGCGTGGCCGACGCTCGGGCTTCGTCTCGTATAATTTGGTTAAAGTCGCAAATACCGGCTTCTCCGGTAGGATGGAAACATGACGATCAGCACATGTCACGAATTACTGTTGCCAGTTACGCGGGCTTAATCACGAGTTAAGGAAACGCAAATTTTCTCAGACCGGATAATGACTCGGCTTCATAATTTCGTTACATCACGCAGTTTCCGAAGGAATTAATTGGTAGCCCCGCGCGATCGAAATAACGCTTATAATGATGATAATGACCCGAGTCGAACTACCTATCTCGTCATCGATCCACTCTTAAGGATGTATAGGCTATGTATTTAAACAATGCTAGCATGTTGAATTTGTTATTACAGATTCCTATTACTATTAAAAAGGTACTTGCAAAATTTTAAATCAATTCGTGGGTTTTTTGAAAAATTATAGTGACTTAAGATTTGCATGTACTCTTATGGTAGTAAGCCAAAGAAAACTTTCTGGTATTTGGTGTGCACGCGCGAAGTTGGAAGAAACAACTGACTTGAGGAAATATAAGCCTAAAAAGNTTTGTATATCAAAATTTTTTCGCCGGCGTCAATAATTAATTGGACATTCCCTTCTATACTTTTTGGCATGTAGCTATTTATTATTAGCATTGTTCTTCCGACGTCTAATTTCCTTTTAATTATAGGAAATGCGTTTTTCTAATGTACATAAACTTTTGGGATTGACTGTATAGCCAATACATCCTTAACAAGTGCCGCAACTTTGTTCTGTCTGACCACCGCCGACGAGGAATACGCGATTCTAAAACCCTCTAAAACACACTTGCCCACTGGCAGACCTTGCTGCCTCCCGCTAAATAAATGATACACATATCGCCGGCTCTAGACAGAGGCGATGCCGATCGATGGCGTTCTGGATCACGCGTCGACGGCGATTTACCCGAGCGAAACTCTCGACCCCCCAGAATCGAATTTCTGAACGACGTGACCGCACATAAAATAGAATCCTGTTCGGTGGGGATCCGTTTGGTGAACCGATCAAACGTTTCGAAGATCGCGTAAGGATTGCGTAAAGGTGGTCGCATCCAAAACATGTCTCGAGGACCTAACAACCGGTCTCGCGTCTCAATCAGAAAAAGATTGGCCCGCGCAACGAGTTATTAGATGGGAGGAAACGGGTGAACGTCGTAATTTCAACAGTGGCGAACGACGAATCTTCACCCATTCGTTCATGAAACGAACACCTGCGAGACGTTTGTAAGTGTTCCGATTGTCGTTACCGGGCGGACAGAGTATCCGAGTCCCGACGGAAAGAAGGGAAAGGGCGAGTTCGATCGTTCAAGCTTAGATCTCGTACGAAACCGGGACAGGATGCGGCCAGGGCCACGGTCGCGGGTGCACGTAATCCGAAGTGCACTTCCGTTATGTAGCTAAAAATTAGCCGGCCGAGCCAGGCTCGAAGAGCGACAAGCAACACGCTGACACACGCCCACATCCCGTACGCGGGCCCGACGCGTTTATAAAAACGCTGACCAGCGCCGATCATGGACATTGTCGTGCTCGCAAAACCTCGGTGACGGTGACAGAATCGAATCGTGACTCCACTATGGGTACCAAACCGGTCTTATCGTTCCTGGTCTTGATATGCTCGCATGCCGTTTTCGTCGCCGCCCTGGTAAGCATCTCTCGTCTGTCATCGATTTTGCCGCGTGATTCTCGGAAGAGGCGAAGGCCAATCGATTCGTCGGATTTATCAGAGATATCAACCGGTCAACGCGCGGAAATAATAACTGTACGAACGGCCGTGTGACCGCCCGATCGATACCCAAGGGAGGGGGGAGCTGGATTCAAGATTAGAGGGACTGCAATTGGAGCGTATAAACTTTCCCCTTAATCGCGTCCCAGACGTTCGTCAATTTTTTCTTCGCTCCTCTCCTCTTTTGACGATTATGCGACGCGTCCGTTGATCGATTCGATCGAGGCAATCGACGACTCGTTCGACTCGAGAATAAAACGAGACGGCGAAGAACACTGATTTCCCTAATTATTTTCCGTAGCCCGACTGGGTACCACCCGAGGTGATGGACATGATCGCGGATGACAAAGCACGGTGCATGGGCGAGCACGGTACGACGCAAGGTTAGTACGAGATCGATTTGAAAATCCAAGTTCGACAGTCGGAACTACTCGGGCTCCGAGTAATTTTACTGAAGCGATTGTTTGGTTCGAAACGTAGCGCAGATCGACGAAGTGGCCGGTGGAAAACTGGAGAATAATCCATCGATCACTTGCTACATGTACTGTTTGTTGGAAGCGTTCAGCCTGGTAAGTATCCGAGCAACGGGAACGAAATTGATTCGCACGATTCGAGAAGTTCACTAGTACGCGTGGAATCTTGAAACTGATCGAGAGGATGGTCGTTCGGTTTAGGTAGACGACGAGGCGAACATAGACATTGACATGTTGATGGGTATCCTGCCGGAAAATCTCGTCGACAAGGCAACGACGATTCTAAATAAGTGCGGGTCACAAGCAAGTACGTAAAAAGTTACTCTTCAAGAGGCCGATTTTGACGTTCTTTTAACGCGTCTGTGTGAAATTTTTCAGCGGGTGCTGACAACTGCGAGAAAATGTTCAATCTTGGTAAATGCGTGATGGAAGCGGCACCGGAAGTGAGTACATCTCAATTCTCTAACGAAACATTGACGGGCGAGAGTATAACGAGCGATTTTTGACGGAATTATGAACGACGTGGCGACAGATCGACCGTACACGATCGTAACGTGGAAAAACGAACGAACGTTCAAGGTTTCGACAGTGACTCGAACGTGTATGCCTTTCTGCTTTCAGCTCTGGTTCGTCGCGTAAGGAGGCAGCGCGTGCTCTCTCGACGGTCAGGAAGAGCCAAGAGACGACAGGATTGAACGACGAGTCGACGAGCAAAATCAAGAAAAGTTTACGATCTGTACAGGTACATAGTTCACTGAAACGAGAATACGCGTTTCGCTCTTGTAGAAAGAACGGATTCTATAAATATAAAACGTTGAACGAGACGCGTTCGACAAATATGGAAAACCCAATAAATAGAATTGCTTGAGATCTCGACGAGGACCTTTCCACTCTCGTTCTCGCGTTACGTAATCGTATCGACGATTCGCACGAGTCATCTAATGATTCGCGAACGCGCTTCCGAATGCCGAATAATTGTATGTTTTCGTAACCCCCAACGGTCGCTTCCTCGACCGCGAAATGATACGCGAAATCGCGGCATGCAGCGATCAAGTGTCGTCCTTTCGGATAATTTCGTAACGACTCCGCGATGCCCAGTTATGCAATGCTCGAGTGCATTATCGCTCGCGATTCGAAGACACGTGGTAACGCCCGCTGTCGTTCAACGATTCACGAACTCGCACAGGCTAATGACGAAGCACACGGACGTCGTGGTGACGACGACTACGCGATCGTTCGTCGTTTAGTCAGGAAAAGGGTCGATCACCGTAGGATCGTCAAGAGGGAACAAAGTGCTCGCGATCGGTCTCGACCGTGTCTACACAGATGTTGTCGTTGTCACGTATCACGAGACGAATCGTTTCGCCGTTCGCGTCGTTTCAAAATACCTCAAGGCTGCGCGCGCTCGGAAATGCAATTATTTATGAAAGCTGCGCGAACGTCGTATCGCGTTCATTGTATGGAAAGTCGTTACGAGAGCGTGCAGTGTTGTACGAAAAACTTTGAGGCAGACTTTTCCAACTTTTGTCGTTACGCCGACCGTTACCGAGCCGGCCGGTGGATCAGGAACGAAATTAAAAATAAAGGCCGAACGGGCGACCAAGTTTCAATCGTTTCCAATTATCAACATTGCAAAACCGGATTTGATGCCAGTTTCGCTTTTGTCCTTTGTATTTCTAATCGTTTTGACTAGCTAGGATTCATGCTTCTAATCGTGAGAGCAAGAGTAAAACCATGCGTTCTTCTTAAATTACACATTGATCGTCGAACTATTACTTAAAATTGGCATGCGTTTTCGTGCAGAACTCTTCGCAAATTAAAATATAACAGGGTTCGGGGTCGATGCATGGGACGAAGATTCGTGCAGCCGCGTAGCCGGCAGATATTGCACCCGACGTTCATTGGGCGAACGAGTCGCCACGGTTGGGAAATTCGCGAGGAACGAATCGAAAGCGCGTTCCTGGAGAAAAATCTTCGCACGTCTATTTTTACACGGCGACTGGAAATAGTCGGATTTAATGAAAGGAGGCACGCGATCGGCCCGTACGTTGGCTCCGGTCATGAGTCACGCTTCGAACGAACTCGCAACAAGTAGAGATCCCCCATAACGTCCCCCTTATATGTATAATTGATTGAAACCGAGGCGACGCGACACCGCACCGGTGTGCGATTTCGATACGCGGCGCGTTCGACCGCGTTCAACGTACTCTCAAACAGCGAATTTGTCGCGGTACGGGGGGGGGTTTCGATCTCTCCCTCGGATCGTCATCGGACGGAGGGCGGATGAAAATCAAAGAGAATGGGTGCACACAAATACTCGTGTGTACGCGTGTATCAAAGAACGAAAGAAACAAAAGAGGAAAACGAAAAAGAAGTAGCTTGGCTCGGGAATCGGATGCCCAAAAATACCTTGAGGTCGATCGAGATAGCGACGTCGTGCGACGATGTGTGTTCTTTCGCGTCGCTGCCGCAATTCGCGTCGTTGTTAACATTGGGCAAGGAGCCACCCGGCCTGAATTGATTCCCAAGACTAATATGCAGGTGTTTCCCGCTGGACTGCGGCGGGCTGGCGCCGGCACTCTTCACCGACAGCGGAGTCTCCAAGACCCCGGATCCCGTGGGACTCGCGCAGACCGAGCTGCTCGCCGAGACGACCTAAGGTCCATTTCATTCGGTCATCAAACTCCTCCTAATTCCCTTCGATCGACGCGTTCCATTCCATTCACGCTTTCACCCGTTCGGTCAGACGGTTTCACGGATCAACGACGCGTCTGCATCGCGACTTTTCTCACGATTATAAAACCTACTCGGGCAAAGACCTCGTTCGACGAGAGGACACGCGGAAGATCGCACGAACGTCCTGCCAGCGTTCGTCGAGAATAGAGGACGTTTAATTGTAAGACAGTTTCTGACCGAAGAGGAACGGACGTTGTTGGTCGCAGTCGCCGTTCCGAAATCGATAACGTTCAGAAACTCCGACGGTTGGTCACGTCGCGTCAAGAACAACGTCGCGTGAATCTGAGACGACTCGAACGAAGGCGTTCTTCGAGAGATCGTTAAAAAATTATACGAATTCGACGAACGGGTTCGCGTCCTCTCTCCTACCTTCTCCCTGATCGTTCGAGTTCCGAGCCCGAGGGCAACGATGAAAAAATGCAGACGATCAGAGATCTTCGAAAGAGATCTCGACGAAACTAGAGAACGTCGAGTAAACGGCGTCGCGATAAAAGTACGACCGCCCGTTACTCGCGAGTTGCAATGACGCAATTCCCCGCGGTGAAAGTACCCGTATTTTCCTCGTTCGAGTACGACCTGTTCTCTGCGCGCCGCTAGAAATTTCGCGCACTTGTCTCAACAACCGGCGAACGAGGAAAATCCTTGGAGAAACGTCGAACTGATTATCATGTAGAAGAGCCTGATCGAATTCGTAAAATACGAAAGCGTTCCAAGCGCAAGCGCGTCCACACGGATACTGCTTTCCTATTCCTTTCACCGGTCATTGTTCCATTTTGTGCTATTCGCTCTCAGAGATCGCGCCCACGTTTTTTCATCCCTCGTTACGATCCGACGTCCGATAACGCGAAACGAAAAAAATTCCGACAATGCTGTGTTCCGGGATGCAGCGATTCATCGAGCAATTTATATTTACGCGCACGAGCATCGCGCGTCTGTTATTTGACGCTCACAATCTGTAATGGCAAACAAAGAATTTGATAATCGCGAAGAACGTTTGCTGGCAACGAAAGAGCGGTACGAACGTTGTAACAGCGATCATTGTTTCTCCCGAGATTATGCTCGCGGGCGAGCGCAGCGGCACCGGGACGGATCGGTACGAGCGATTAATAGCCGCGTTCGTAATCGTTATCGAGGCCGTTAACGGTACACAACGATTCGGAGGAGTGGTGACTCGCGTAGCTCGCACGATCAAAAATCATTCGGATCAAAGATCGTACCCGAGACGCAAAAATCGATGCCACGAGCGAACGATCTGATCGATGTGCACGCGCTGCGAACGGCTCTAAACGCTGGAAACGTTTCTAATAGATCCGCGCCAACCGCGGCGAACACGCCGTCGTGCCGGTTCGCAAACGTGTAAGAATGTACGTCCTCGCGTATTTATTAAAACGCGCGGTATCGAAGATCTCACGTGACCGAACACGTACGGATTCGTGACTTTTCACGAAAATCGAAAACACCCGTTGGCTCGATATCGCGATCGAAAGCGAGCCGACCTGGCATTCCAGTGGCTCGGTCGATCCTCCGCGCAGGAATAAAAAATAAAAGGGAACGCGCGAGGAATTCAGCGAACACCTGAGAACGCGCGCTCGTGTCAGCGGAACGTAAATGACGCCGCGATACCGACCCGATCGAACTTCGACGCGTATACCTACGCGTAACGCAGCTTCCGCGTTCGGTACGATGCCGACGTTACGTAATCGCGAGTGCGGTCGTCGTGGCTGCGCGACGAAAAACGCGCCAATTTCGCGTCGATCCCATCTCGAGAGGCGAAGAAGGAGCTGTGGATCTAGTGAGAAGGATCGGTGAATCACGCCGTCTTTTTATCCGAAAAATTTTGTGTCGTCCGAGCCCACGCGCGGCGAATCTTTGCGCACTACCACGTGGCTCTTCTCGAAACGAGTTCGCTTCCGGCCGCGGAACTGAATGGAAACGCGACGGCCGGACGATACTGGTTCTTAATAAATTATTTACAGTCGACCGACGACTCGAATCACGATGACACGTTCGTTTCTCGACACCGAGTTACGATCCGCTTAGGAAAACGATTTCGCGCAGAACCGAGCCGACGATTCACTCCGGAACCGGAAGTGTCGCGCGCGCTCAATGGGACAATTTTCACTGACGTTTCGAGCGTGCAAAAAATCAGGTCTATGACCTCTGCCAAAAAAACGAATGTTGTCTACGTAGCCCGACGATCGACGTGGATCGAAACACTTTTTGCCCGTTTCCGATTCTTACGGCGAAAAGCGTTTCGAACGACACGTGATGATGAATGCGTCGACGATTTTCGAGCTTGATTCAAGACGGTTGAACGCGATCGATTCCGCGGATGTTCGTGTCACGAAATTCTGCGAAACCGACGTGGGCAAAGGCTCGAATGGCATCGAAAGATCGGACGACCGTTTGCCTCGATCACGATCGATCGCGTGTCCGCGAGCAAGTGATAGAAAATAGAAACACGGCGATCAGTCGTCGGACAGGTATCGGAACCACTTTGCTCAACGAATGAACACGTTCGATCATGTCGTTTCGAAACGAGCTGATGTCGTCCGGGGATTCTTTTCCCGAAAAACACGATGACGACCGAATCGGCAGGATGAACGCGCGTTTGTCAAGAACTCGCGGGCTCGCGGGACGGACGGTCGGACGGCGATGAAAAAGTACGTTCCGCATAATGCATACCGTATATGCGTTCTACACACAGCTACGCGCGTATCCATGCACTTTTGCACGCGAGCATCGAAGAGGAGGAGGAGGAGGAGGAGGAGGAGGAGGAGGAGACGTATACACGACCGTCCGCGCGCTACACCGCGGGTAGGAAAGAGAAACGGAGGGTCAACGACGAGCGTATACGTGTAGAATATGTGCGCCGTTAACACAAATACTGATAGTAGCCTAGTCACACACGCGCGCGACCCTGATGGCGAGCACGTTCACATAGAGACATACACACGGCGAAGTCCGACACACTGCGCAACCCGCGCAACGAGGTGGAGAGATTCATGCTCGTTGTTTACGTTCCTATCCTATCGTCCGAGGCTGAACTAACGTAGAATAATCAAGGTATCGTCGTCCCTCAACGGCAAGGACCTACTAGGATTTCCTTACTCTGCTCGTGACATCCGAGACCTCTCGCATGATCGCTTCGAACGCCGCTTTTTCCTGCGCTTCCTTCTGTTTATGTAGCGCGATCTTGTCACTGAATTTACGTGGGTTCGCCATGATGGCTCGGCACCAGATCTACCGACACCCGCGCGAGTACCGTACACCCGATGTACTCTGCGCTGTAACCGCCGTCGCGCCTTCCTTCTTTTCACCGTTCACACCACTAAGGGCTCTTATTTGATTTAACCACGTCAGAACCCGTAACCCACTGCCTTCTGGATGCTACTGCCGATGCCGATCACTGATACGCAAGATTATGCGGCGCAGCGCGCCAGGCGCATCGCGCAGGAACCGCTTTTCGCGGGCTCATTGGTCACCAACGCCTCCCTCCACCCTGTCGCACCCGCAATAAAAAGCTGACGACACGACAATTTTCCTGGGTACCGAAAAGCTCGATCTTTCGCTTGTTTCTGGCATATATGATTCAAACGCACATGCTGCTATCGATAAAACAGACGAAGATCATTCGAAATCGTCGACCACTGGACTTTAAATTTCACAACTTGGTCCCCTCGTCGATCCCTCTCGAATCACTGAATTTCGACAATCTCGATCATGCTCTTCGATCTTCCTAATACCAGATTCTTTACGCACATTTGATCATAAGAGTGACATCGCTCAGTCGCAAGATGACCTTTTCGTTTTGTATCGATCTTCCTACTCTATCGATCGAAAATAAAGATCACCAATACGAGAAGCGCCGCAGGAAATTATAAATCGAATTCTAATGTATGCATGACTGTTCGTGTCATTTTTTCTTCGTTCGACACGCACATGCAATATACGAAGATCAAAAATTATTGTTCCTTCGTTATGAAACTTCCTACCCGTAAGCGCGAGTGTAAAGTACGAAGCTTTACTTACGAATCAAACGTTAGTGTAAAATAATGTCGGGTTTTAATAGAGATACATACGTCGAGCGTCTACCCGTGTCCACGTACAAGGAATTGGTAGACGCATTAAACAAAGATGAAACTTGGATAACGTTAGCGAATCATGTAGCTGAGAAATTGGAGTATCCATGGTAAGCAATGAAAGTCATGTTTGTAGAGTACAAAAGACTACATTTTATAATTTTGCAATACTATATTACTACTACAGTAGTAATTCGTGGATACGGCATTTAAAAGAGAAAACAAATTCGAACGATTCTCCTGGCCAAAGATTACTCACCGAATTGAACATCAAACTGTGTACCGTAGAAATTTTGCAAGCATTGTTGGAGAGTTGTGCACTTTACAACGTCCTTTCGATCATATCTGATCCAGGTACTTGGTATCATTATCATTACTTTTGCTCAATGGGTCGTAACTGTATGAGGCTGTCGGTTTTAGAGCCTCTGTGTATCATCTTGCATCCAACGGACCAGTCGCAGACCGACATTCTAAATATCCCATTTGGGCATCGTCTTTATTTGTGTTGCAAAGCGACTGGAATTCCACCACCGACTTACACGTGGTATCACAGAAACATGCAATTGCAACACTGTACTTTTAACGAGCTTGACATTGTCATTACCAGGTAGACATTAAATGAGGATCTGAGTCTGTAGCAAATGTTCAATCGTTGTTTTGTTTCGTTTCTCGAAAAGTGCTGCACAAGCAGGCGAATACAAGTGCAAAGTAGATCAGATTAAAAACGATGGGACTCTCGTGTCAAGCTTGATCTCGAAAGCTGTGATCGTACATGTTTCTATGGTACCTGTTGAAATAGAAGAACAGCCACTGCCGATCTTGGAAGCGAAAGAAGGCGAGGATTTTACTATTCGTTGTAAAGCTAATAGTTATTCGGAAGCAAACTATCAATGGTATCATGGCAATAGTAAATTAGAAGGAGAAACGTCTGACACTTTGCATGTAAATATGTGGCTTTTTCACGTCGAGCAGCTGGACACAGTAAATTTGGTTTGCCCTCGTTATTTCAGGTGAAGCAAGCGAATTTAAAAAATGTAGGAAAATACTATTGTCACGTTTACAACGACGTCAGTGAAATGTATACGCAGAGAGCTCATGTATTGGTAAAGATACGTTATACCTTTCGATGTTTCAACAATTACGTGTACCATAATTTATTGATAATATCGTTTCAAAGCTGGTTCATCCGAGAATGAAAGCTGTCGCGAAGCTAGCCTTAATTATCGCGAATGAAAAATACGAACACCACGAGTGCCTGTTGGCACCTAAAAATGATGCTGCGCGAATTAGTCATCTTCTTAAAGAGATCGGATTCCAAGTGATTTGTCTGATCAATTTGACGCTTTCTCAGATGCAAAATGCCATAAGAATATTTGGCAAAGCCTTGATAGACGGAGTGTACGGTACGATATAAAAGACGAGAATATGAAAATTAAAATAAATATAAGCACCTCTCTTTGCTAGGTTTATTCTATTTTGCTGGACACGGTTTCAAGATGCAGGAAAATTATTTACTACCAACGGACTGTCCAAAAATCTACTTGAGAAAGGACGCGATGAGCGAAAGTGAAATATTATCTACGCTTCTCGAGGACGATCCGAAATTGTTAATCGTCATCTTGGACATGTGTCAAAGTTTACCTTCGAAGTAAGTGTTCACATTAACGTGGACGACTTCTTTTATATATTACATATGTATTATATGCCTCATCGACGTATGCATTTGTCTGTAGAGAATCTAATCCCGAAATTTATCGTGAAATACCCGTAGTTAAAGAATACAAGAATAAGAGAAACTTGTTTCAAGCATATTCCACGTCCAGTTATCAGCCTAGTTATGAGGATGCAAACCTTAAATATGGTTTATACGCGGCGCATCTTGGTAAATATATCGGTGAGGACGTCACGGTAAAAGATTTATTCGAGCAGGTAGCTAAATGTAAGTCGAGCCGATAAAGTCTCACTCTGTAGGGCTTGTAATTCACGATCATCCATGTCATTACAGCCATTGAGTTAAGTTTCAAGGACAAAAGAAAAAACCAAATTCCGACGTACACTCCTACTTTTACGGAACCGTTCCGTCTTATAGACGACGTTCACGAAAGTAATTCTAATTTTACATGTACCACCTCGACCGTTGGACATTTAATACAATTTTTGATGTATCGCAGGAAATTGTCCAGAGCTTATCAAGTATTATACAGAAAAATTGATGTCTTTTACGACACAAACAGTGGAAGTAACTTTTGAAAAATTGAACGTATCTACCCGAGTCACGATATCTCCTTTCATGGAAACGTTCTTCAATCTCATAGAAATAAGAGTGATCGATTTACCGGATGAAGAGATAAACTTTTTTTCCACTCCCACGTCACGGAATAATTTGTACCAAGATCAGGACAAAGTATGTTGGATCCATAATCCGCAAAGTAACAAGGTACGCAGTTTGTATCGAAGAAAAAAGTCTGTTAAACTGTGATACTTAATCGCATCGATTCCAGGGACCACTTGTTATCTGTGTGTCCAGGAATGGAACTCCTGTTACTGCAACAGTATTAGACATTAAAAATTACGTATCTCCGTTACTAGAACTTGTAGGTGCTTGAAAATTAAGGACTACTGATGTTTTCACCATACAATTTGATAAATTCGAATTTTCAAATGAAAGGTTTATTTTCTTAAACGATGAAATCCTATGACAGTCGATTACTTCGCCACATGATTCACTACTTTCGCTGTCCATGCTCCTCCAACACCATCGGCATACTTTCTTTGAAAGGTGTAATAACAGAATATGAATCTTATCGGGCTTGCATTTAACGTATTTTCATTGACATCCCTCACGTTTACTCCGAGTAAATCTATTTCAACAATCGTTTCATCACCTACAAAATGAGATTGCGTTGATGATCGTAGAAAGATGGTAACGTGATAAAACAACCTTTGGTTTTTCTTATTGTCATGAAGCCTGGGATAGATAAAAGTCTATTTAGGTCTACACTGATTAATTCTCTTTGGGTTTGCGTCAAACGATCGACTCTATGCCTCAGTATCTTTATACTCCTTTCTTTCACAATACCATCCAACATATCATAATTCTGCGTAGCTAGAGCATTGGATATCACCGAGATTGCCTAAAATGTTTCCGACCTAAACAATTAATCTTATCATGCGACGTAAATGAAATGGTTTCGAACGAATTATACCTGTCTGGCTCCATTTACGAAATCTTTTAACCTGAACTCTCTGTCGATGGTCGTACGTATAATTAAATACGACATGCAGATATTGAACAGTGGGAAGAGCGACATCGGCGTCTTTTGCCACATTAACGGTGGCAGATGAAAATCTTCGGATCGTCTTTGAGGGTTAGTGTTAATCGACCTGTACGCACCAAGATTCGATAAATTTATATTATTGCACTCAACCCGGTCCCGGAACGCGGCATCAGTCTTCACTAGTGCCCTACTGCACATTCGAAGCGTAACCAATTGTCGCATTTGCGTATGAAACGCACATCTTTCCAGTCGTACTAGCAACAACATTTCCGTACTGTATTCGATTAACTTTCATTTATGTACTGTACGAGCGAATTGTATCATAGACGCCGTCTAACCTAAGTAACCTATGCATGCGAACAATTACGAACAAGGAAAAACGTGAATGTCCAACGAAAGAATTATTGATGATCATTTGAAACACGGTTCAGAAGGAATTTGTCTATTTGTAACGAAATGTTTCTCTTTATGTGAAAATGCGAAATGCATTGCTAATACCATCCAACGGCAAAGCTAAAGAATTAATCAATATTTCAAATTTCTAATTCGATGATTATGATCAGACTATTGGACCGTAATTGTAGTTATGGCGGAAACACTTTCTTATTATTTTAAGAACTTTTTTCTCATTGTTCCTCAATGTATGTACCTGAAAACAGGGGTATCTCGTATAAACATACAAGCATAATAATGCATAATAAGCAAACTGCAGTCCTACAGTCAGTCTAGTGCTGGAGATCCTGGACCTGGAACTTGACAGTGTTAGGCTTTGTCTATATAGTCAAAGATGTTGGTAAAAAAATGAAATATTATGTTATCTGACTGCATGATAATTGAATTAATCATTTGGTTAGTGTACTTGGACGTACATGCAAACAATTTTTCTCTCGATCTATCATGAATTAAGAAAAAGATGTGATTTAATATCGCTGTGAAGATAAAGATGTGATTTAATATCAACCAAATTTTGTTTAATAAATGTCTTCGCATTCGAGATCTAATGCTATCTTTATATTCAAGAAAATAAGTACGTCGCTTTAGGAAGCTATTGGTATTTGCGCATAGGTCAAAAATCCCACGCTATGCTATGCCTATGCTCATCACCCCTGCATCATCCCCATCAAACGTGTCGAGCGCATCGAGCAGCATCGAGCTTGTAGCGCGTTTACTTAACTAACGCCAAGAGTACTATAATTGCTTTTTTCACGGACAAATAAATAAATACTCAGTATAAATTTCGAATAAACCATCTATTGCAGATACAAGCATTATTTAAATGTAACATAGTCGAGAAAAGTTCGAAATATGCACATAGTATCATAGGTTAGGTATAATTTTGCTTGTTTCCTACTGATTGTAAGATTGAGATGTCTGGAGCACGTAGTGTCGTTCGTTTATGTTTGCTCGCTGTGTCTTCTCAGTAACTTTGTAGAAAAGTTACACCTTGTTCAAAAATTAATAATGACGAACGATGTTAACGATATAATACCAGGTAAATTTTTATTCTAATTCATATCTATTTGTACGCCACGTTTCGTAAGGTTAAATTTCTTGGAACCAAATACATTTTATCAAACATACGGACGTTAAACAATCGTAAAATCCACACGTCTTTCTGATGCGTCTCGCGGGCTACCGAGTTTTACTAGACTACGAATAGTAAAACTTGATTCAGAGCGACGGTGCTATTTGAGATCGTGATGTTATATTACGAATCTTTTGTTCCGATCGGCTGTTATGGAAACCAGTAATAAGAGTAGAATCTTATGAAGGTCGATCGAAAGACGAGTGCGATGAAACCTAGATCATGCAGAGATCAGCATTAAGGGAGGATAAAATTGTAGATACGTCAAGGATGGAAACGTGTACAGCAGGTGCTTTGGTGTTGTACTCCACTGCTCAAGCATGGACGGCACAATTTCATCGGAGTATTATGTCTTCGAGCAGAGTGTCAGAGTCATCAGACGACGAAGATTTGACTGGATACCAAATCGAAGACGACCTAGTGTACCTGAGGTCGTTGGACCCAAAGGAGTGGAAAGATCAAGATCATTACGCTGTGTTAGGCTTGAAAAAGCTCAGGCACAGAGCGACAGAAGATATTATAAAAAGGGCTTGTACGTAATGAAAGTATTCTCTGTAAAGGAATCTCGGTGTTATATCATTGACCATGCGTGCTCGACGTGTACGTACCCTGGCTGAGGAGTATTTGATACGTGAATTACAGATAAGCAAAAGATTCTGAAACATCATCCGGACAAGCGGAAAGCCATGGGAGAGGAGATCCGGCCGGACGACGATTATTTCACCTGCATAACACGAGCTTGGGAAACATTGGGGACCTCTACGAAGCGTCGGAGTTACGACAGTGTGGACCCGTATTTTAACGACGATCTACCAGACGAGAGAGATTGTAAAAATAATTTTTACTCGGTGATGGGTAAAGCGTTTAAAGAGAACGCTAGATGGTCCACAAAACAGCCTGTACCTCGATTAGGTGGCCCGGAGACGGCCAGAGACAAGGTCGAGAAATTTTATTCGTTTTGGTACGACTTCGACTCGTGGCGAGAATACTCTTACCTGGACGAGGAGGACAAGGAGAGCGGGCAAGAGTAAGTATGATCAGCAGGATTAATTTGTGTGTGGGATATATTGGGATTACTACTTCTGTAGTCGGGACATGCGTAAATGGATCGAGAAGAAAAACAAAGCGGCACGAGCGAAACGAAAGAAGGAGGAAATGGCACGGATACGCGCGTTGGTCGATATGGCTTACAACGCTGACCCTAGGATAAAAAAATTCCAACAAGAAGACAGAGATAAGAAGACAGCGGCGAAGAAAGCGAAGCAGGAAGCGGCAAAGGCGAGGATACAGGAGGAGAAGAGAATAGCCAGGGACGCTGCGGAGAGGGAAAGATTGGAGAAGGAGAAACGGGAGAGCGAGGAGAAGGCGAAATTGGACGCGCTCAAGCAGGAAAGGGAGGCGCAGAAGAAAGCGCTTCGCAAGGAGAGGAAAGCGTTGCGCGATTTTTGTAAAGCCAACGATTACTTTGCCGAGAACGCGGAAGAAAGTATTAGGCATATGGAGAGCGTCGAGAAAATTTGCGAGTCGTTCAAGTTGGTTCAACTGGAGGTGGCGATCAAGAAACTACAGACCGAGGGCAGAACGGCGTTCCTCGGTATAATGGAAGAAACCGAGAAGAAAATGGAAGCTGAACGAAGAGCCGGTGTGATCTCGTGCGAGGCGCGGAACACGCCGGAGAAGCAAGTAAAGTCTTATACGGCCCCGTGGAGCGAGAACGATCTGCAACTTTTGATAAAAGCGGTGAATCTATTTCCGGCGGGGACGAACCAACGGTGGGAGGTAGTCGCGAATTTTATCAATCAACACAACAGCTCCTCCACCGGCGTCACGCGCGATGCGAAGGAAGTCCTCGCGAAAGCGAAAGACCTCCAATCGACGGACTTTAGCAAGTCCAGCTTGAAGGAGCAAGCGAACAAGAAAGCTTTCGATAACTTTATTGCCGAGAAGAAGGCGAAGGAATCGGTCGAGGACCGAATGCCAGCTGTCACTGAACGTTTGGACCATCCCATTTCGAACGGTATCGGCGGGACTCCTGCCAATGAACAGAATTCCAAGAAAGAATCTCAACCGTGGACTTCGGCGGAACAGAAATTATTGGAACAAGCATTGAAGACTTATCCCACTAGCGTGGCCGACAGATGGGATCAGATAGCGGCCTGTATTCCGACCAGAACGAAAAAGGAGTGCATGAGAAGATACAAGGTACGTTTCTACCGATTCCGAGCGAACGCTCGTTTGTGTAACGTCTCATGTGGATGTATTTGTTTCCAGGAGCTGGTCGAACTCGTGAAAGCGAAGAAGGCGGCACAAGTAATGAAATAATATTAGTCTCTTTTTAATATGAAATTCTTTTTAACTTATCAAATTAAATCGAATACAAACAAGTTCACGAATCGCTGTTCGGATGGAGAAACGTTGATTGCGTTTGATAGACGAATGAATCTTATTGTTAACTTTTACCGAAAGCCGTGTATCTCTATACCTGTGCCTTGCTTTAGTTCATAGGCGCACACAGTTTTGCAACGGTCCTATCAATCAATTTGGTCTGCTATTTACACGCGAGTAAACGATTGCCGCACCTAGGGACGATCATCGTAATTGTTGATCGTCGAAAATTGTTGTTCCAAAGCTCCATGTTCCTGAAAATAAATCTTTTTTCACGTGACGATAATTCATCATTTGGAGACGAACGATCGTCTTGTAAGTAATGTAACATAAATACGATGGGAACCGATCGTACCGAAGGCATATACTTAATAACAGTTGATGACAAATAAAAATCGTGGAACCTTTGAAATACTTGCTCGAATTGGCAGAACCGGAAAAAGGAGGTCGTTTGAAATCCTTATATTTTTAATTTGACACATTTTTGACAACATTAACAACAACAAATTTTTTTTTCTGTTAGTTCCCTTCTATTTAGCGAATACTGTCCATGCAGTTCCTTCCTCGTTCTCGCCAGACTCCTTACAATTAACGCAACATTGTCGAAATGTTTGTCGACGATCTGTCTATCGTTCGAACGACTCTGACCTGGTTTTAGTATTTCGATCAGAGTTTGAATATCACATCGGTCGAGAGGACCTCTCAGGGTTTCGAATAAACAAGCGTTGGACATCGTGATCTTTCGCGTGTCGAAAAACAGAAGGGACGTTTACAATTACAATAAGCCTGACGGCTACGTCGATTTCGGAATCTTCAGCCTCGTCTTCACACACATTTTTCTTCTCATTCACTTTCAGAGACAATATCAGAATGCGCGTGACCGACCATCTCGTACCGTGCGATCGCACGCTCGCTTCACCTATACACGTGTGTACTCGTTTTCATTCCGAAGAAGCAGGACATTCGGATGTTATTTTTACGTCGCTTTCGTTCGCCATTCAACTGATGTTATTACGTACTCGCAATCGAAAGGAAAAGGTTCTCGACGGGATATATATATATATATAAATAACGAATAGGAAGCAAAAGTGGAGCGGCGGAAATCGAAAAGGAAAACGGCAGTATATCGTGTGCGTGTCCGTTTGTTGTGCATCTCAGGGTCGCGGATCTTACACAGTTAACTTTGTAAAATATCGACTATGAGCAGAGTAACGAGACTCGGGTACGCGTAAACATTTTATAATGTCCGTCCTTATCTCTTTGAACGCGACGAGCCTGGTCCCCCGACTGCCAAGTAGGACGCATACGTCCGAGACGTTCATCGACAGATCTCAAAAACGTACAAATAATACTGCCACGGACAGTACGCGTCCAAAGCAACAGTTTAATTGTACGTCTGTTCGATTGATTTTACTCTCGACGTTATTGCATAGACGATCCGAATACTCGTTTAATTGTGCGTAATCGTATTGTTCGCATTGCAAGTATATTAAAGTACAAATAATCGTGCGCGTACACAAGATTCTCGTATCGTTCCTCGAAAAGACTGCTATTTCTATTATACATTCTAGTATACAACGGCTAGATGGAGCAATAAGAAAACTAAAAAAAAACAGAAAAAGAATCGGAACCGGCATCTAAACGCGCGAGACAATGAAATGTGTAGAAAATGAAATGCGGAAGAGAAATTGTGTTTTCTTTCCGTTCACGCAAACGTCGATCGCCTTCGTGAAAAGTCAAGTATTTTGGTACCGTATCAAAGATCGTAATAAGAAAAGAAAGGGTGCGAGCGAGTAGCGTGTGTGAGTGCCAAAGTCGTGGTGTCGCGCGTAAAGAGCAAGACTCGGACGTTTCAGTTGTTTGTTCTTTTGGTCCAAGTCGAAGCAAACCCAAAGACCAATTATGTAAATAAAAGAGAGTAGAGGAACGGGGAGACACTGATAACGATGATACGGTCAGCTAGTTTGATCCTGATCGATGGTCGTGTATTCGCAAAGTGTGGAGGATTGCCGGCGAGACCGAAAAGGAAGGCATCGGGAGGATCGGTGAAATTTTGCGTCGAATCGCGAAAACAAAGTACATAGGTAGACGGTAGATACTACCGACACCGATGTACCAAGCCGTCGCGTCACAGAAGCCGCGCGCTTCGACGATGATCAGTCTCGTAACATAGACATACATGTAGAAAACGTTGGTCTCCCTAAACGCGTCTATTAAATATTTAAGCGACGATCGAATCGTCGTTAATTCGACGGTACGTATGGTAATTACGGTAAGAATTTGTCCTCCTCTACATTCTATACGGATCAGTGTAAACACCACTTTACAACAGTATAAAAAGATCGCTATAGACATAATCGTGTTAAAAAGACGCTGGAAAAACGAGTACGAAAAGTCGACTATTTAACTTACACGTATAACGCGCGAGTAGATTTTTAAATTGTTGCGTACGTACTTGTGATTTGGAACGCGTTTCTACGATTCCGACTACGTCGGGGCTCCTCACACACACCACCTACCTAACGCCTAATCGTAATCTATATCGTTATCGTTACGACGAATTGGTTACCTCTAGAAAGGAGGACGCGTACGTCGATTTATTCGTTTCTCTTGAAATTTTTAAATAACGTTTTAGTTCTGTTTGGTTCCCTTGTTGACTCGCGTACTTCTTACGCCACGTACGTACGTATTATACGCATTAACGTTTACGTGTATGTACGTCTCCTAATTGTATATCTAATCGTAAAAGATTGGCCGTCGATCTCGAGTCGCACCGATGCGCGTGAACGAAAGAAAGAGCCGTGATCGGGACTCGGTGAAAACCGAAAGGTCGGACGTGCGTGGAACCGCTTACGGCTGATTTAATTCGCTTATGGTACGCACGACCCGGCCGAAGCAAGAACGCGTTATACAGAATCGAAAGGAGATGCGATACAAAGAGTAGCGAACGTGGTTCTGAGAAATGCCGTCGGTTAAAATTATTGTCCGTCTGTCGAGACAGTGTAAACGATATCTGTTCGTTCGATAACGTATTCGGAGATGACACAATTAATTGTTCGGTGGGACGTCCACAGAACCACGCGACCATCGGACGTCTGGATCCAGTTTCTCGCGTGTCCCCCCATCTGTTCACCGTTCAGTCGTACCGATCGAATCCGATGCCGATCGATCAAAAATCAAAATTCTTGTCACGTAAACGAGAGCACCGTCGCGCGATCGTCACAAGTTTCTCGCACACGCAAACACTCGCACGTCCTCCCGCGCGTGGCTACAAGAATATACAGGTGTGTGTGTGCACACAGTGGATCGTAAAAATTGCGAGTCGAAAAAAGGGAAAAAGGGCCGGATAAAATGGTCGGAACGGTGAACATTCGATAGAAAAGATCGACGCGCGAGCGACACGCGGCGTTTCTCTGGAAGAGAAGATTCGCCCTTGCCAGGCGGAGAGCGAAATTACGAACGAATCTTTTCCGTGCACCAGTGCAATTACACTCGTGAATCTGGCAAATGCAACGGAGCGAGTCACTCGTCCTCGTGTCGAGTGGGGCCGCGTATGTACGATGACACGCGACGAACGATGATGATACGCGTGCATCTATAATATTAATATTCGTATGTGTGTCACGATGCTTACGACACCACGGCGTGCACGGTGCACGCTCGACGCGCGGTAATACTACGAATGTCAGTACTTTGTCCAAGTCGATAAACGTCTGCTCTGGTCCGAAAGAAGTTACAGATACTTAGGCACTTGTTATCTCGTCTAGTGATCCATCGTACGAAGGGCAATAACGAGTTTACATCGTACGGAACGGTGATTCGAAGGAATAATTGTGTACGACGAGAAGGAGAGCACAAAGAGTTCACCTACTTACCTATGTAGAGCTAGCCGTTCGAAACGCGAACGAGCAATTCTTTTGGAATTAACGTCCTGGTCCTGATACATCTTGTACCCACTTATACTATACGCGTATCCTACGTCGGCTGACTTCCGCTTACGGTCGTTATTGCTCGCGTTTCCCTTTCGCTCTCGCTCCCTCGCACTCACTCTCTCACGCACTCCCTCTCTCTCTCTCTCTCTCTCTCTCTCTCTCTCTCTCTCTCTCTTTCTTGAACTCGTTTCCGGCGATCGGATTCGACCATGCAGCGTGTCTGTTCCGTAAAAGCTGCAACAAAGTTCGTCACACGCGATGGCACAAGCTAGGAACACGCGATCTAGGGACGATGATCGCACCGCTAAGAAGGTGGAGGTTGCTGCTGTCGAGTCGATTGGTCCGAAGTCGTTGCCGATTGCCCGTCGCCGCGGTAATAACGTCGCGGCGGGCCGGGCTGTTGTTGCTGCTCCTGCAGCGGCTGGTAGCCGATACCGGTCGGCTGTTGGTTCCCGGGGTACACCGGCGTCCATTGCTGATCAATCCCTTGTTGCAGCTGGTACGACAGCGGTTGGCCGCGACGTTCTTGCAAAAGTAGTTGGTGAGCCGCTCGGTCCATCTCTTCGCTGGTCATGTCCAGGGCTTCCTGCATCTCCCGCGACGTGTACCTCACGAAATCCGGATCGCAGTACTTGCCCAATCCTTGCTCGACCAACACCTGTACGAACGAAACGGGTCGCGACCGGGAAGGATTTATAATATGAATCGAATCGTAACTCACGAATCGCCGCTTACCCGACCGACCAAGCTCTCCGCGCTGCCGATGACCTCGAAGTTGGGCTTCCGGTCGGCTGGACTACCCGGCAAACTGTGGGACAGGCGCTCTGCGCCGATGGTTCCGTTACTCTCTCCGGCCCAGGAAACTGACGAACGAGGACAAGACCCGTCAAGGATTTGAAACTCGTCGCGTTACGTTCTGCCTGAACGAGCTCGTAGCACACGCACACGTGAACACGCACACACCGAGCATAGCTAATGATTGCGGTTGCCGACAGGTCTGAGCGTAAAGCTGTGTGTATTCGCATCGCACAGGTTTGGCAGAACGCATGCTTCGAGCGGCAGTTCGTTTACCCGGTCCGGGTCTCTCTTATCGTACGTATCACGTGCGCTGTCACGGTGTGGCGAGATAAAGATAATGTGCAGATGAGGTCGTCGCGTCGCGTCGCGTCGGATCGACTGATCGATGCAGAATGTTCGGAATATGGGAGGGACGGTCAGATTAGTAGACAGGCGTGCATTAATCTCGGATTCGCTAACCTCTGCCGTGGTAAGAGGCCCGATGCGAGAGACAGGAGGCGCATACCCGGTGCTGTTGCGGATCGACATCGGCGAGGAAGCCGGCGACGGCGATCGCCTGGGTCTGAGCCAGCTTCAACCCGTTGGCAACGCTTCGCGCGAACCCCGTACTCGCGGAGGTCGTTGAACTGCTCGATTGACCGCCGCCGCCCCCGTCGCGCTCGCGGAAGCTCGACGGCGCCGACTTCCCAGCCACTAGCTCGAGCCCGCGCCGACCCCGAATTCGGCACCGAGACGCTGCTGCCAACTCCTGCCTCAACGACCCTCCGCGACGCCCTCCGCCGCCACCGCCGACCTTCGCCGGAGACTTAGACTTGGACGAGTTGCTCCAACCACTAGACCCTCCGGAACCTCCTGACACCGACAAGCCGGACTCGCTATACTCGCTCGTCGCCGACGAATCCCCGTCCTCGCGATCTATGGCTGCGGTACATTCACCCGACAACCGATGTTCTTTTTATTTTCTCGTTGATCGAGGGAATCGAGAGGCTATATAGAACGTTACTCTCCAAACAAAGATATGATCTGACAGAGATAGATGTAGATACATAGCTGACAGGCAGATGGACAGAGAGAGAAAGAAAGAGAGATAGAGAGAGAGAGAGAGAGAGAGAGAGAGAGGAAAGTGTAGATCGTACCGTGATTGCTCCAGACGGCACAATCGACGCAGCAGCCCCTAGTCGCGTAACATCGCGTCCCATTGGAAGATGAACCGAGGCTCGGGCTGGTCGCGGCTGTCGACGTGTTCGTGCTCGACGCGTTCGTGCACGTGGCGATCGACGTCGTTGCGCTGTCGGACTTGCTGGACGAGATTTGCACGGAGTGCAGAGTGCCGGTGCTCGGATCAATGGACGGGGGTGGGTTCCTTCGGGGTGGTGGCGTCGGTGGGGTCAGCTGCCGCTCGATTCCGTCCTGAAGACTGCTTCGAGAAGCAGTCGCGCGACGCGGCCAACACAAAAGAACGGGCAAAAACCACTGTCTTAGTTAGTCGGACGATCGTGGTTATCGACATGCCTTCTGTCTGCGGTGAACCCTCTCGCCGATATCGCCGACTATCGGCGATACGCGATCGGATCGCGTCGCGTCATGCATCTGCGACGCGATGCCACCTCCGTTCCGCACCACTCGTCGACGAGATCGTCGAGCGTCCCGCGCGGCGACGGTTAGTTTTTTTTAGTAAGTAGTCACAGTGATAGTATACATAGTGTACTGTACGTAGACTATATAGACTATACGCATGCAAGCGCGCAAGCGAGAAATGCTATTCGGTCGAGTAAAGCCAACTATGTCCACTTCCATAGCCCTAACTTCTCTTACCATATTCACTATTCGGATGAAGGTAGTTACCGCTACCTGGACCGCTGAAACGTACAATTCACCGATCACTACGACGCTCAGGTCGTCCCACTCGTTTCCCCACCTTCTACTTTCTCTCGATCGAGATTCTACTTCGCGATCGATCGGATAGCCGATGCCTGGCGCCGCGCCGGCTACACTAATTCTTGTTCGTTCTCGTTTATATCCGTTCTGCCTTTGTTTTACTTACTCGACCACTTTGTACGGATGACGATGATGATGATGCTGCTGTTGCTGCTGCTGCTGTTGGTAGGGTTGATGACGGCGATACGGTTGCGACTGGACGGGATTCCCGAACACAGCCAACGGCCTCAGCGGTATACTCTCCTCGATCCCGGTCAGCTTCGGCTCGATACCCATCTGATTCATCGCGCTGTCGCTCAAACCGCTGTGCATCAATTTTTCATATCGTACCTTTGGCTCCTCCCAATCGTTCCTTAATTATATATCGATTAAACTGACCCTGCCACGTTCGGCACGACCTGATGAGACCTGGCGGTGATCTGATTCGGCGCGTCGTGCCCTGCTCCTCGCTGAAGCGACGAATACGGTAGGAAGTCGATGGAGTTGGTCGGTGACGCCTGCGAATCGAAGTCAATGACCGCGTATACTTTGAATATTTTACGGTCCCGCTACCTTTACCTTGCTCGCCGAGTTTATCTTCAACGACCTGGCTCGATTGAAACCGTGATGCCCCTTCTTCATGCTCGACCAAACGCTACCGAACAACGAGTGATTCCTCTGTGAAACAGAAATCGGTCATTGAGACAGAGTCAGATACTGGGAACCCGTGGCACCTTCTGACGCATACCCTGTGCATCGGTTCCGGGTTGTCGTCGAGCAACTCTTCCAAATTCCCGGAGATAGCCCTCTTCAGCTCGGGTCCAGCTTCGTGAAGAGTTCTCAGACCAGCCTGGAACGACAATCGTCGGATAGAACGAAGCTACGCTACGTCGCGTGTTCTCGCCAGTGAAATTACCTGAAGCGTGACGGTGTTGTGACATTCCTTGTCCCCGTCCTTCATTTCTTGCTCTTTGCGCTTCTTGAACCTCCTGAAGTAGTCCTGGATCAAGAAGGTCGCGTAGAACTTGCCAACGGTCACTTCGTCGTCGCCTGAAAGAGAAGCGAAAGGTGATTTAGCAAAGCTCTCGAGCAGAAGAGAGAGTCGCGTACCTCCAGGTGGGGGTACCACTTGATCCAGAAGCCTGGGGCTGGTCCTCTTCCAGATCTTCTTGATCACCGCTCGAAGTTCCGCGTTCGCGTCGTCAATGTTCCCTTCGGTTTTTATTCTCAACGACGTTCTCACCACGGCGAACAGCGTGGCGTTGAACAAGACTGTCCCGTCGCTGTTCAACGGCATGTTCATCGACACCAGCCTCTGAAGAAATGATCGATGTGAGACGCGAACCGAACGGAAGATCGGAGAAACCGAAGAAAAGAATACTGACTTTGCACGCTACGCGATGTGGACAGAGTTTACCGAAACCTAAGGGAGGGGATATCTTTCTAAGGAGGGTGACCACGTCGAGATGCTTGATGCGACCTTTCGCGTCGGGATCGTACTCGGACCAGAGACGGATGAACTCGTCTAAGTGGTGGGGACCCAAGATGGACCAGTCCCTCGTTAAGTAATCGAAATTGTCCATGATCACGGCGACGAACAGATTGATGATCTATGAACGACATCGATCAGAAAAAACGATCGAGCAAATCGAGAATGGCAGAGGTGAAACTCACAAGAAACGAGCACAGAACGTAGAAAGATATAAAATAGGGAAATGCAATATTGGATCCGCAAGTGGGACCCGTTTCGTCGCTGGCCGGATCGCACTTTACTTTGTCCTCTTGCGCGGTACAGTCCATCATGATCTCTTGCCACGCCTCGCCTGCGAAACATCGTCATACGTGACTGTACCATCATTCTTACGTGAAATCTGTTGCGGACATGTGCAACGATACATGTATATAAAGGTAGAGGCGTACCCGTGGCAGATCGAAACAGAACTAGCACGGCTTGTGGGAAAGATTGGAAATTGTTATTTCTGTTGATCGACGTCTCGTCGTCGATCGCGATCTTCCCAAACACCTGGAAAAGCGTCACGTTTTCTCTTGGACAGTGATCGAAAGATTCGGTGATCGCTTACCTGCATGCCGATCACGGCGTAAATGAAAAAGAGCATTATGATCAACAGAGCTACGTATGGCAGAGCTTGAAAAGATTTGATGAACGTCCAGAGAAGCGTTCTGATACCCTCTCCCCTGCTCAGTAACTTGACCAAGCGCATCACGCGGAACAGGCGAAAGAAGTTGATGGAGATGATGGACGAGCCGGGCTGGAACACGTTTGCGTTACAAAGTTACGAACGAAACGAAAGTCGGTCTACGAGCGAACTTACGTTGACCTCGGAGTAGACGATGTCGATGAAGCTTCCGAGAACGATGATGAAGTCGAACACGTTCCAAGCGTCTCCGAAATAGTTCTGCAACGAAACGAAAATCTCGCAGTTCGGAAACGGTCGAAGCACATGCATCGTTACAACTGCGGATCTGATCCGCTGATACGTAAGAAAAACAGTATCTGCGGAGCATACAGAGAATGTCTGCCCGGAATGTTCTGTACCTTGAATCGAAAGGCCGCCAGCTTAAAGATAAATTCCAACGCGAAGACCGCCGTGAAGATCATGTTAAGAATGTCTAACGCTTCCGTGTAGATCTCCGGTTGACGGTAAAATTTCATTGCTAAAGTCACCGTGTTGATCATGATCAGAGTGAAAATGGTGTATTCGAACGGCTGCGACGTGACGAACCACCAGACTTTGTACTGTATTCGATGCTTGGGTATGTACCGTCGCACTGGTTTCGCTTTTAACGCGAACTCGATGCAGTTCCGCTGCGAGAGGGTTTTTACACGCGATGTCAGAGATACTCGTCGCCTGGTACGTAGGTAACAACAGCCACGCGATGCCCTCTTACCTGATTCTTGTCGAGCTCGCAGTTTTTGTACTCTTGCTCACCCTCGTTCTGGAAAGTGACGATAACGAAACCGACGAAGATGTTCACCATGAAGAATGCTATGATAATTATGTAGATGATGTAGTACGCAGCCACTATCGGCCGGAAATTGTAAATCGGCCCGTGATTCTCCTTGTTCGAGTCGATCGACACGTCCAGCAATCTTTCATGGTCATACAACGAATCAATGAATCTCTGACGAGTTCTCGTGCGCTAATACGTTTCGCGACACGTCCTACGACTCGTGAACTTACGATGGCCATCCCTCGAAAGTAGACACGGTGAACAGCGTGAGCATTGCCTTGGCGACGTCGTCGAAGTGGAAACGGTTCTGACACCAGTTCCTCTCCTTCGTCACGGGCTTGTTGATGTTACCGTCATCGAACTCGAGATACGTGCCCCTGCGAAATTAATTCGTTTCACTCTTCGCCCCTCCGCTTCAAACTTTACCGTTCGTACGCTCGTCCTCACTTACTGGCATTCTTCCTTCGTCATTTTCGATGCATCGGTACAATAGGAAAATTTCCCCTACACGACACAAAAGTTCGATTAATACCAGGATCGCAGAACGACCATTGAAAGCTGACACGTCGAACCGCTCTCGATATCGCTCGAGTACTCTACGACCGTTTCCAACTATTCAGACCGGATATCGAGCGCGGTCGACGGAACGCCACAGGTGTGATCGTTAGGCCATTCTCTGGAGCGAAATCAGTAGCAGCGAACGTGATCGAGCAAAGTAAAGGAAAGATCAAAGAAAATTGTTGGCAAGTGATAGAAATAAAAGAAAGGTCATTCCGTTGAACGTGCACATTACACACACATATAATATCGGATATGCGATACGTCTAGACATGTACAAGGTACGTATATGCCGTGGTGCGGGCTGTCTCATTTGGCCTACGTCGACGTGGTGCGCGATCGAGATCGATCGTACCGAGAACGCGTTTGAAAAAGTCCAAGAACAGGATTTCTACCGAGGTCGACCGAGAGTCGATTCGTTCTAACGAAGCGACGCGCGTGCTCTAAGGACGGGATCACACGCGTGTCCGCGTGTACATTTTTAGGAACGACGAGCTTGGCACCGTCGAGCTTTCGACGGCTCGGGAAAAATGATCGAGCGTGGGTCTCTCTTGCCGCCTTCACACGCTACGATGATTTCGTACGAGATTCTACGTGGCCGTAGGGATTGGTTCAAAGTATTTGAAACAACGTTCGACGATCTCACGAGCGTCATGCATCTTCGGATCTGACCGGAATCACGATCTAAAGAGTAAATCAAATTAAAAACTGTTTCGACAGTGACGTTTCGATGCTATCATGCGTAAAAGCTTCATTCCCAGCGTCGACGGTAAAACTTGCGTGGCTCTCTGTCGAGCGTACTCGTACGTGACCGTGTCGTCTCTGTTCGAATTCGTACACGGCTATACTTTCGTCAAGCTTTCTTCCCTTCGGCCCGTGTTCCCGGCGAAGCATTAAACGAAATCGTCGACGGTGTACATTACCGTGCTCGAGGGTGTTATCGCCGGCGCAAAGACTCTCTGCAAAGGGTAATATCGGCAGCGACGATCACCAGAATCGTCGACTTTTCCTTTCAACGTCTTCGCGAGAACGAATTCGACGGATCGCGGATCTTACGCGAGATCGACCGACTTGAAACGTCAAACAGATCGCGATCCCTTTTACTCTTCGAAAGCAGCTACGCGCGTTTTTTATGGCCGCGTTGTTCGTAAGATCCAGTGGTCAGCTGGCAAAGGGAGCACGCGTGACGAACAGACGGAAATGCGGTGATCGTCGTTGCCAATGTTCACCTTCGTGGAGGCAACGTTCAGGCTCAGTGAACGTTGCGACCGATCGACGTGCAGCGCGTCGCGAAAGCCAAAGGGTGAAGCGTTTCCTTCGGGAGGTGGTCTACGCAAGATGCAAAAGCGTCGCGGTAATCAATCTTCTCGATCCACCGGTACCCCGTATTTCGCGAAGGAGATTCACGCTTTTTGAGTTTCCGACCGTAATTCGTCCGCCCATCGAGAGTAACCGTCGAAAGAACAGAGAGAAGAAATAAAATCTTGAGAGAAAATAGCGATGTAAAAGAAAATAGAGCCGAAGAGGCAGGAGAAGTGACAGTAGTAGAAGATAGAAGAAGAGAAATAAATGAGAAAGAAGAAGAAGAAAATGAAGAAGAAGAAAAAGAAGAAACAAGTTTTCGTTCGCTCAGTTTAAACTTGAATCTTTCTAAGTGGTGCTGATTGGCTTTACCTTGAACAGCTGTACCCCGATAACAGCGAACATGAACTGTAGGAGATAGGTGACCAACATTATGTTGCCGATCGTTTTAATGGCGACAATCACACACTTGACTACGTACTTTTTACGCAGTTGGTCGAGGGCAGGTGAGCACAGCGAGGAACGCGGGATCGTGAGATAGACAGACAGAAAGAGAAAACAAACAAAAATACAAGGTAGCATTAATCGGGGGGTCGGATAGTATCGCTCGTGCAGCTAGCTAGTTTATCGCTTGATTCAGGGGTTTTGGGGCTTGGGAACTCTCTTCCATCAATTTTTGTCTCTTAAACGTTCCCCCTTCCTTTTCGTTACACCGTACCGCGCCTTCTCTCGTTCTATCGCATTTTTCCCCCGTTCTCCTTATCTTTGATCGTGAACTAAGCCCTCGCCATCCATCCAACCCACCAGTGCTCGATGTTTTTTCTCGGCAATGCACCTATGGGGCCTCGCACGAACTCGTACTGACACGCGTTGCGCCGAATCCCTCCCGCGATCGGTCGATACATCGGTCAATCGATCTGAACGGATCCTTCACCCTCTCGCACTCTTTCGGGCTAGATCTACCACATGGAAACGGTGCAGATTTCTCGGAAATTTCGGTGCACCTATCGACTATCTCTAAATCCTATAAACGAGACGAAAGAGAACATCGTTCCAAACGAGCCAGGCCAAACATAAGTGACTACAATGATCGGCGACAGCGGCAAACGTGACCCACCCGGAAGACCTACGACTACGACCTACGCGACGACGACGACGCCAAGAGACACGGAATTCTCCTTTCTTTCTTTCCCTTTCCTTTCCTTTCCTTTTCTCTCTCGTGTTAATATCATAGCGACACACCACTGCAACGCTCAGCCGGCACGACCATGCAATTTTCAAACGATCCTCTACTACTGTATCGGCTTTGTGTTCGTTTATCGTCTTGTGCGTGTCGTTGTTTCACGTGTCTTCGACGCTTGACCATCGCGAAGTAATTCAGTAGTACGAGCAGCAATACCTGTCAGCTGGTAAGTAGTAGCGCCGAGCATTGGTCGGACGCGAGTCTTTCGATTTGAATCATCGCTCGACGATGGTCAATCGTCCTCCGTTCATTCCGCGCCCGTTCCAAAATTACGTGCCTGATTAGTCTTTCAGCTATCAGCTAATAAAGTCTCGAGCGACGAAGAAACAGAAGGAGAAACAGACAGGAAGAGAGAATGAATTGTGTGAGTGTACGTGTGTGTTTTCGTGTACGAGAAAAAACAGAGACAGAGAGAAAGAGGGATATAGATAGAGAGAGAGAGAGAGAGAGAGAGATAAAGAAACGAAGCTACGAAAGCCAAAGTCGAAATAGCAAAGACCTTGAGTAAAATCGTTTCCTGTCGTGACATACACACATATGCACACGTATAGATAAACGATAGGTATAGTTGCGATTTTTCATTCAATCCCCAGTCTTTCCCCCACACCCCCTCCCGATTACTCTACTAACGTAAATCGGTTATACTACATACTTGGCATGCCGTGTATCGATCTACGTATATACTATAATAGATGTATGTTATAGACGTTCGTTGCTCAACGCGCAGAGCGAAAGAAACGTCTATCGGCGAACTTCTATTACGATCGCATCTTTCCTATACATATGTACTATGTATGTATGTGGGGCAGATGTGTAGGCACTGACAATAAGCGCCGCATCTAATCGAAAGAGACAGATTATGACAGGCATGTCCAAACCGCTGTTTCGAGGAGCGCTCTTGCTGGCTACTGAGCACTCAGCGGAGAATCGTAAATTAATAGGCAAATGACTCAGTGGCTGATGGACGACCATACCCTGTATGCAAGTCTGCTATCTATAGTCCACTACAAGAAAGGTTCTATGCATTTTTCTTCTAACTCCAGTGTTGAACGAGTTAAGTACGATTAATCGGCATTTTATGGGTGACTGACAAAATTCGGTCGTGTCCCACCGTCGAAACAGCAAAAAAATTTCGTTTCTCCTCAAATATTCCTAAAGATTTGGACCTACGGGAAAATTGCATACGACCTTATTTGTAGCTGACGACTAGAACCACAATTTTCGTTTGAAACATTTTTCAATATGACGAACAAAAATTTTTTTAAATAAACATTTTTCTTAATACCGTGGAACGAGCGCTCCCCGTGGACATGCCTGGATCATGATCGTACTTATTGTCAGACTTGGACGATTCGCGCGCGTTTAATTCGATATCTTCTCGATGAAAATGGATTCGATGGAAAGAGAGAGACAGAAAGAGAGAGACAGACAGAGAGTCGATGATCAATCGGTTCCCTGGAGTAGCCCCCACGCAGCGGTCTTTTACGCAAAATTCCGTCAAAGTTACGCCCAATACCGGAGACTATTAGGTCGAAGCTGAAAGCTGGTCACAAGCGGAATCGTTTAGTCATTCTCGTTTTCAAAAGTTAGCGTAAAAGTATCTCGGATGGGGGCTCGAGTTACGCGTGAGTACAGGGAGGAACGCGCATAGTGTATATCTTTGGGAAAGAAGAAACGAAAAGGTAGTTCCAGTGACAGGTTTCGGGGTGGGGGGTGGGGGGTTGACAGAGAGAGAGAGTCGAGACAAGAAACCCAATGATCATAAGTTATAATATGCGCAAACAGTTTGTATCACAGGGAAGGTACCCAGAGGTGCATCTGTCGGAAAAAACAACGTCTGCTTCGTGCTCCCGAGCCTCTCGACGATCGTTTCCCCTTTGAACTCATTCTTGATAAACAGCGAAAAAAGAGACGTGGGTGATCGTCGAGTAGCCGGGACGTCGAGCAAAGGCGTACCGAGGTGGCAAAACGAATTTGGTAGTAGTGAATTTGGTGATGGTGAATTATTCTGGCGTTGCATCAAACGAATGTGAGGTAATGAACGGACAAGAACGACGACGATATACGAGTACGTACAATACTATTGCAACGTATATCGGGGATCGTAAAAGAGGGCTGAAGGGTCGACAGACTGAGGGTCAGAGGTTCTGGTACATCATATTATTATACGTATATATGCCGTTCTAGTGTACTACGTAAGGTTCTTTCGGAACTTCGAGTTCCAGGACGTTTCGGTGTGTGTAGGGGGGGATGGGTGGCCTGGTAATCCTACCTTGAACAGTTGTACGCCAATGACGGCGAACACGAACTGCAGGAGGCTGGTGACGAGGACTATGTTTCCGATAGTCTTTACCGCTACGATGACGCACTGTACTACGTGCTGGGTTCAACATCATAATCATCATGTAAATTCGCTCTTCGATCAACGGGATTACGAGTACCGGTCGCTTAATTCGTTAATATCACTCTTTATCTTCTTACGGGTTAATCGTTAAATCTCGGGTAGTTTTCTTTCGTCTAATCTCGCTGTAATACCTCGTTTCCGAGTCGCACAGTGAAGTCGCAACTTTTATTCTACTGACGATCAAACGATCATAGAATTCATCGAAACGAATGCGCGACGCGGAAATTGGGTGGGAGAAAAAAATCGGTATTTCGCTTTCGTAAAGAGCAACCGGAGACAGGGTGATGCTAGCCTCGCTCAAACGTACGCGACTCTAATCGAAACTGAGCTGGCTCTGGCAAACGTTATGCTCTACTTCGGGACGCACGTATCTACCGTGGGGTCGAATTGTGGTGGTGAACGCGCGTAAAAGTGAGGAAGAATACCTTCAGTCCTTTGGCACGATTGATGGCGCGCAGTGGCCTCAACACGCGTAGCACACGAAGAACCTTGACGACGGAGAACGCTCCCGAACTGCAACACGATCATCGAGATGAATGTCTTCATCGAATGAACAACGATCCAAAGTAGCTACTCACCTGAAAGACATGGAGATGAGAGACGAACACACGACGAGCAGATCCAACAAGTTGAATGCCGATCGACAGAACGCGCCGTCGTGTATTATGAAACCGTACGAGATCATTTTTAAGCAGATCTCAATCGTAAACACCGTGGTGAAAAAATAGTCGAACTTCAGTAAGATCTAAACAGAGAAGTTCACCGCTCGAAATTAATCGGAACGAATCGAACGAGCGACGTTTTCCCTCACCTGATTCCTATAAGACAAAGCGCTGAGTGGGTCCTCGGCCGCCAGCATCGCCGAGGATATCATTATGCAAACTAAGATCACGTTGCCGAAGTAGCTGTGATTGCAGAGCCAGTGGCAAAACACTCGGAATCTGTTCGTCTGGGAAAATATGAAGAAGGCGGAGCCGGCCGGGATCGGCTGGGTCTTCGTAGCCATGCTGTACTCGGACATTCTCCGTGGCCTGGCCGAAACGCCTTGGTCCGTGCCATCGTCTGCGCAAACACGTTTCCGTGAACTCTTTAATACGACATTCGTTTTTCTTTCGACGTAAGACCGAACGCGTACCGTGCATCTCGTTCGGTTCGATGTCCTCCTCTTCCTCGGCTTCCTCGTCGGACTCGACGTTCAATCGCACTTTGGCGTGACCGTTCATGTCGTCGCTCTTCTCCGATCTGCAGGCCCGTTCAAAATATAAATCTATCTTGCGATCGATCTGTCGCGATCAGACTCACGTTTCGGTGTCGACGGCCGCTTCGTAATCTTCCATCGTCTCGTTGGGATCGTGCTCGGTCCCACCGCCTTCGTCCTCGGCCCCAGTACCATCACCTCCGTCATCGTCACCATGTTCACCGCTGACCTCGTCTCTGCTCGGCGAGCCACTGTGAGATTTATTCTTCTCCGCCTGAAGCGAGAACATTGTCGTTCGCTAGATTCATGCGGGGCCAACGTGTCGGACGTCGTTACTCGATCAGCTGGACGATCGGTCACGGCCCATCGTCGTCGAACGGTCCGTTCGAACATACTCGTTCCAAGGATTCTGGTCGAATTTCTAGGGGCCGAACGAACCCCCAGGGTCGATACTCGGCGACCGTCGACTTTTCATTGGGTCATTGAAAAATCGCGAACGATCGAATCTCGGGTGTACACGCTTTGGCTCGTTCGACGCAACGGCTCCGTTCGGCACGTTACGAAATATCGCGAAAAATAGAAGCGGAGGCAACGAAGCGAGATAAATAGAAAACTGACAGTGGTGCGACGTACGTTTCTTTCGATAACGGTTTTAATTGCGGAGTATCGGTATTCGATCGGGACGACCTCGATTCCGCGTGCGTGCTTCGTGGAGCTCGTGGTATAGCCGACCACACCGATCAAGGGACAGTTTCCACCGATTTAACGACCGATGACCAACCGTACATCGTATTAACGATCGCTCGAATCAATTACTTTGAGCTCTACATTCCAAACGACGATCCGATTGAAATCGTAAAAATCGTGTGTATCTGATTAAGAATGATTTAAACGAGACCGTCTTTACCTCGAACCGGATTAGACAGACGCGTTTACGGCGCGTACATCAGGGAGATATGTACGCAGGACGATATTTGCACGCGTAACGAGCGATAAAAACTCGGTCGAGCGACGACGCCGCGTCGACGCCGGCACTGGCGTCACCGGAGCGTCGGCGTCGGCGTCGGGATGAGGTCAAGACGTCGGTGATTACGAACGAACGTCCTCCCTTTGAAAACCATAAAACGACTGGCATTCTAATCTTCTCCGCCCTCGAACGGGTTTGTTCGCGGCACGAATCTCGGGGATAATAATTGAAGGAGACTCACCTCTTCCTCGGCTTCCTTTTCGATGGCAGTCAACGATTCAGCGTCCGCGAGATTGTCCACGGCGATGGCCAAGAACACGTTCAGCAGTATGTCTGGCGGTGGTCAGCTTTCGTCAAGGATCATTCAACCATTATACTCGCGGCGAACGTAAACTCGTCGACGCGGGCGAGCGCCCGGCATTCATATTTATTACACGTTGTACCGAAAAGGATACAGTTGCCGCAAATGAAGAGAATGATGAAGTAGAAACAGGCGAGCATTCCAAAGCTCGAGACACCGCCGTACGCTCTGATACCATCGTACATAACGGCGTTCCAGTCCTCACCGGTCAATATCTGACGAGCATTATTAGCATACGTAGAAACCATTTCGTATCGTTTCACGCTTTAACGAAGACTGAAAACTTACTTGAAAGACGGTCAGCAGACTCTGCCAAAAACTGTCGAAATTGTGACGAGGCTTATCCTGCAGATCGGTGAAGTTAAATTTCCCACCGAATACCTACGAGAACACACGGTAGATACGATCAAACTGGAAATCGTCGACTCGCTCTTGAACCGAATCGATTACCTGCATGCCCAGAAGGGCGAAAATTACGATGAACAGAAAGAGGAGGAGCAACAGGGACGCGATCGATTGTATCGAGTTCAACAGAGAAGCCACTAGATTCGACAGCGATCTCCAATACCTGTGAATACCGCGGATACCGAATGTAGTTCGTTTGACGTCTCGTCGAACTCTCGCGTTTACAGAGACTTACTTTGTCACTTTAAATACCCTGAGCAACCGGACGCAACGGAGAACGGAAACGCCGAGCGGTGGCATCACGTGAGTGTTGGTGAGAATCATCTCGGTGATCGAGCCGATCACGACGAAGCAATCGAAGCGATTGAACAACGACACGAAGTAACCCTGCATCGTGACGTTCGACGTTATTCAGATTCTCGAAGCGGATCAGCGGATACTTACTTGAAATCCTAGACTGTACATCTTCAGTATCATCTCCATGGAGAAGAGAGCGATGAAAAACATGTTCGTGATTTCTACGCATAGAAGAGAACGCGAGGGTTTGCGAAAGAGATCGATTTCAACGGACGAACGGGAGCGAGTTAGACAGTTGTTTTTACCTTGAAAATCGTCCAGCCAGGCCGGCTGATTATAATGTTCGGTGGCCAGAACACCGGTGTTTAAAAACACCAAAACGATGATTAGCCAATAAAAGACCTGCGACTTGACGGCTTTTCTGCAGGCCCGCCTCATTCTTCTGTTTACTCTGTCAATCGTGATTTACGATCAAAGCCGACTGTCGCGAATCTCGCGTGCAGGGAAACAACGACGAATCGTCTTACCTGTCGAAATCTCGCCTTTTCCTCTTCCAAACGGATTCCTGTTCGACCCCTTCCTCGTCACCCTCTAATTGACCCGTGCTCTCCATCTCGTTCTGCTGATTCGCTGGACAAGGGTAACACTTCGATGTAGACTTTGCTCTTTGTCTCCTTCGTAATTCGCATAAAACTCTGCAGCGATACCTTCTCCGTCCTGCATCCTCCGTTCGTCGGTCTCCGGCTCGATGTCCTCGGCTTGCGTGATCCAATCCAAGTAACCCCGTAGGTCGTCCTCGATCTGCTGCTTCTCCCGGAGCTTGTGGAAGTCACCCCTCGCTTTCGCTTTCTCTCTCTCTTTGGAGAACTCGCTAGGTCGAGCAAAGTTACGAGGTTTAGAATCTAATTTAGAGAGGTCTACCGCTTGGTCAAAGTATCGACGCATTCCCGAGTGAAACTGCAAGCAGCGTCAACCGAACAAGACGAGCGCGTAGGACCGTTCGCTTCGTACACTCACCCGGACAACACACCGAGAATCAGGTTCATGACGAAGAAGGCTCCGAGTATGACCATGGAGATGAAATAGATCCACTGCCACGAGCTTCCCATCGCGTCTTCGATCTGAGGAACGCGCATGATTAACATTCGAAGGGAACGAACAAGGGAAGACAGGAACGGATGGTTCCGCTTACGCTGTAGAGGACGTCGGTCCATCCCTCGAGCGTGACGCACTGGAAGACCGTCAACATGGCCAGACCGAAATTGTCGAAATTAGTGATACCCCAATTGGGACCGTCCCAGAATTGCTTGCTGCAACTGTAACCGGGCCCCTCGTTCTCGCACTGATAGCCGCCGGTCCCACAGGGCACCGGATCCTCCATCAGCGCACCTGCGAATCAGATTTGAAACGTTGCATTCTTTGGCAGCGTCTCGGTGCGTCAGGCCAGTGAATTCGCGGATTCTCGTGAATCAGCTGTTTACCGCCGGACAGGTTCGTTGCGAGTATCGTGCTAAGAATAATTAGACGCGCTGAATCACGTCTAAAATAGCGCAAATCGCGTTTTGCGAACGGGATTGCCCTGGCTTCTTGCGATCTCTCGGATCGGTCCTTCTCTCCCCGATACTCACCGGTGATGTTGTGCCTGCACGTTTTATGCATTTTCCCAGAGAACAGTTCGAGGCCGATGATGGCGTAAATAATGATGACGAACAGAACCAGCAGAGCGATGTGGAGGAGGGGTATCATCGCTCTCAAAATAGAGTTTAGGACCACTTGAAGACCTGCACAGATCGGCGAACGAATTTGTCACTTTTTCTCTTCCCTTTCGGCGAAACGACGAAACGCGGTCGTTCCTTCTTCGCCTTTCGTCGTTCGCCGTTCGAGATCTACCCTTGGAAAGGGAAATCTTACTTGGTACACCGGAGACCAGCCTGAGAGGTCGCAACACTCGGAAAGCCCTCAACGCTTTCACGTCGAAGCCTTCTTTCATCAGTATCGACAACACCGTGCTCACCATTCTATAAACCGACGAGAATGGGAATCAAACGACGTCTCGCGATCCTCGTCGTCGTTTGCAAAAGGATCTTACTCACCCTATCACTACTATCGAGAAATCTAATATGTTCCACCCGTTTCGGAGATAAGCGCCCGGATGAGCCACGAAGCCGTAAGCAATGATCTTCATGACGCACTCGGCCGTAAAAATCACAAGAAATATATACTCTATTTTTTCCTGAAACAAATTTTCATCCGTCATTTCTCGTCCGAACGGACGATCGAGAGCTCGTCTCGCGAGAAGTTCAGTGGACCAATTTCGAAGGTCGGATCTCGAGAGGAGAACTATCAAAAGGAGAACGCTTTGCCCATTTTCGGGTTCACTGGTCGGGACCCCGAATTTGCTCTCGGACCACCCGTACTTTGACCGGCGAAACGTATTTTGGCTCGTCTCGCCAATTTTCAAAGGGTTCGCGTCGATACGGCGAAGACGATCGAGCCGTAAGGATTTGACGATAAAACGCGAATCTCGAATAAAAAATGAACTCACGATCAGACGCACCGCGCACGACCGCCCGCGCGGTATCTACCCGGTGTGTACCTAGGAATCACGATAGCGCGGAACGATGAATACCAGTGTCAGCGGGATTGAACAATTATCGAAGTTTCACCTCCGATAAGTTTCATGCCGTCGACCCTATCTCTTGGACGCAGCGTTTGTTCATCGATACCCGATTGGCTCGTATGGTTCGACGAACGAAACTGTTGTTCTTATTCTATTCTCTATTATTAGCTCGATCGAAATTCCTTGGTTCGTCGGGGATCGAGGACTGGTAAACTACTGTAAAGACGTCTGGCATCGATCTTTTCGTAAAGTAGAAGAACCATGGCCAAATCCGACTCCCCTTATTAGCGTAAGAGCGGCGTAAAGGAGAGACCGTAGACGGGGTGCCAGGAGTCGATGGGACGAATCACTCACCAAATACTGATTGGTCAAATTAGAATCGCCGTAGGGGTACGGCGTGTAGACTGCCAGAGCGACGCAGTTCGAGAATATCGTGAAGAGAATGAGCCACTCGAAAGGTCTGTCGCGTTCAAGATGGTAGCTAAGGAAAATGAAACCAAAAATCTCTGCCCGTTCGTTCGACGACGGATTCCGCCGCGTAAGCGAGCCGGTTGAAAAGGATACTTCCATTCGACGACGTCGATGCACATTTTGCGCATGGGATTTTTAAGGGGTAAACAGAAAAGGGCTCTGACGGGTCTGTCGGGCGGCGCCTTGCCGCCCCTGCGCGCGGGCCTCTTAGGGGCGGACTTGGCGGCGCCGGTGGTGGTCCCGATCGTTTGTGACTGCGCGGTGGCCGGTTGTCCGTCCTGGGCAGTTTGAGGGTCATGGTGCTGCCCGAGGATGGGGGGGGTCGCGGCAGTTGGCTGGGCCCCTGGCAGCTCAGGGGGGCCCAAACCCGAGCCCCCATCCCCCCCCGCGCTCATCGGTCTCTCCTGTGACCAGAGATCGCCTCCGTCCTTCCTCCCCTTTCTCTTCTTCTTATCCTACCCCTTCTTCGCCGCTTCCGCTTGCTCCCTTTTATCCCGACCTCTCCGCCTCCTCCTCCGCCTCTTCCTCTTCCTCGCGGTAAACTCGCGTAGGCACGCTTCTCTGGACCCTGGCCGGTCACGCAGACGTCCGTGCAGACGTCCGACGACGCCGATCGACGCTCTCTCTCAGAGACGCCCCACCACCCGCTGCAGCTCGCCGGCATGCTACGGCACTGGGCTCTTTCCGACCTCCCTCCGTGACCTAAACACACCCCAATTTTATCACTCATCAATCAAACTCACCGTCGACCGACTTGTAGTTTTCGTTCGTTTCATAACAATAATTTTAATTGACCAACTCGTTCACGAATTCCATTTTCGTGGCTCGAGGATCACGAACCTCTCCCGATTTAATTGTAGCGACCGTAGCGATCAGAGGGTACGCGAACCAGTCAGTCGCCAGACTCGAATTCTTTCATATCGTGTACTCGTACCTCATACGATCGTTGTCGATCGTCGCACGGAAATCGAATCGAAAGCGTGGCGGTCGCGTCGAACATTCGGCGAGTCCGGGAGTCCGGGATTTATAGCGGACTCGCGCTATATTTAGTGAGTCTAAATACTAGAGAGCTCGACCTACTCGCGCGCGTGCTTCTTTCCGTTCCGTCGCGTACACCGTCTCTCCGTCCTTTATTAATCCCTCCTGAGCCTCTCAAACATTTTACTCCGTACAAGAATTACTCGTTTCCAAAGAACTCCCACTCGAATTCCTTCCGTCTAATTCACGCTGCGCGTCAACGACCAGATTCGGTTCATGCGTTCATCGAAAAATTACGTGTACAATCGACATTCATCCGAGTCATGCATACTGGATGGATACCGCGAACGTATTACGATCGTACGCGCGGGGGTACGCGACGAGGAGCCAGATGGCGAACGAGAAGGAGAAAAATAGAGTAGCTCGCGTCACAGGAAATCCTGTTTTCATTTCGATCGAACATCGATCGCCGCTCTCCTCGCGTCGAGCGAGCGTAAAGACGCGCTCGCAGGCCACAGCCACCGACCGACGCTGGTGCTAACGAGTTAAATTTAGTACCCCGGCTTCGCTCCCACGGAGGCTAGCTGGGCCTGCTGGCACGCGAACTCCGGTCCGATCCCTTTTCCTTTTTGTTACACTTTCCGTACGCGTGCCGCCCTTCCGCAGTTTCATAGTTTTGCAAATGACGCGTCACACTCACGGAATCAACCTACGCACCTGCGATAAACACGGGAAAAATCAATACTACCACGGCGCGTGTACTGGGCTCCCGGGAAAATTTTTCCGTTCTTTTACGAGCATATCTATCTACAAAGCAAGTAGGACGATGTTCGATCGAGCGCGAATCAGGTCGATCCAGTTTCGCCCAGCCAGTTTCTGATCCGACGATCGATGGACCGACCAGCTCGTCTCGTTTTATTGACGGAGAAACTAATTACCAGTGGGTACTGACAAGGATTCACAGAGCCGAGCTTGGCTTCCATTAATTATCGTCATGTCTCGGAAGCGAAACGCGTGGATCCGACGCTCACGTCGACGATAGAAAAGATCTTTGTGAACAGATCGCGTTTAGATAAAGAGGATACGCGTCGTAACGTCGAAACCTGAGGGAAACGACGGTCGCGATGATTCGCGAGTCGATGGGCCGATCGTGTACCTACGCACGTCGTCCGAAGCATTGTGTTTCCGTCGACTGTGCAAAAAACGAGCCGTTACTCGAAAAGATCGGTTTCGCGCGAAAAGAATGAACGGAGCACGATAGCGTATAATCTCCGAGCGAGATGAGCAGAGAACGAAGGAGCATCGTTTCCGGCGCAATGCGTCCTTCGTGAGTCTATCGTCCGTTGACTCGAGCACAGTTTTCCAGGCTGATATCAATATTTCAGCGTCGTAAAGTCGTATCTCGAGTCGCTGGAATATCATCGACGAAACGTCCCTTCTCCCCTCGTCGGAGCGTCTGGAAATCTGCGGACGGATCCTCGCGAAAGATCGAACAACGAGACGAAGGGTCCGTCGCTTGGATCGTACGCGAGATGGAGTCGCGGGAGACAAACGTTTATCGGGAAATACTCTGTGCCATGCACTTCCGCTCGTTTCCGAGAACCAGAGATATTTTCGTTCCCAGCTGTGAGACCTACGTTCGCTCCTAACTGGATTCCTCTTGTTCACCGTTCAACGAATCAGTCGATAGTCGTACTCGATTATATTGTGTTTCGCGTTCATCACGGTCCATAGGAGGCTGCGGAGCTTATTAACTGCGGCGCGTGCATTTCAAAGAGAGGGCTTTAAAAATAGTTGGTGCCGTGGGTCACGAGAGTACGAGGCGATATCCCGATCGGCAATCTGCAGAATCGACTTTCCTTCGGTGAAAGAGACACTTGTAGCGGCCTTCTCTCTTTCGATCTCACGTCCCAAGTGGACGACGCCCTTGCGGTTTGAGCTCCGCGCGACCGCTCGCCTACCCTCCTACACGTCCGGTCGTGAGCTCCTCCGACCGTTCGACGAACGACGTTAACGCTGACTACGCGTTATTTATCGGCTCGAACGAGACCTCTCACCGTTTGCTCCTCTTCAATTCCCACAGAAACTTTGTTTCACGAGAGTGATCGTCGGACGAAAAGTCGAAGTAAAGTCGACGGAGTTTCCCCGGGTGTCGAAGGACGTCGATGTCCGTTCGACGGTAACGTGGTGACCTCGTTCAGAGAAAAGTAACCGATGTTTCTGTACCGGTGAAGCGACTCGCCGACGGAAACGCGATGAAATCAAAATTCAATGCTGTATCCCTCTCCTCGATGAGTCCTCTGAACGCGAACAACTAATGACTCGACGCTCCTGATTCGATTAGACTCCACGTACAAACGCAGTAATCGATGCGGAGATTTTAACGAAGTTTCTCAATCAGGTGCCTCGAACGTAACGACTCGAGTATTGGGGTTCGACGAGAATCGAGATTCACCTATCGGCTGTTGCGCGTGTACGTACGGCGTGTATCGCGTGACTCTGACCACACAGTTCCACCTGTTCGATACAGAATATCATTAGCCTGAATATCGAGCGAATACACCGTTCCCGTTTTTCGACGCCGTATCGCGTCGCGCCGACATACATCTTTCCTACTTCCGAGCTTTCACCGTTCGCGAAACCGCGGAATCATAAAGTGGCGTTCTCCTGACGACTTCGGTCCTTGAGGTCCTTCGGTTGAACGTACGAAATCGGTATACAATCAATTGTATACGTTCTCAAAAACGTCACACACGACGAGAGCGTTTTGCCTGATCTATCGGTAGAGAAGCTCGTTCTCGCGTAGTTTAAGTTTTCACGAGGAATCCTTTGGATCTGGAGATCGAACGAGTCCGAATTCAATTCAAACAAACGTATTTTAATTCTCGTCGAGAGCCGACGGAAGGAAATCACATTCTTCCGAATAAACGTTGGTCGCGGAACGAAACCGCGATTTCATTTGCGAAATATACAGTGTACGCGTACAGAAATCATACGTATCTCGGCTGACCGTTCACGAAAAATATGATTTGTGCGTTTAGATCGAAGTTTTTGTTCTTTCTCAAAAATTGAAACACAGACCGTGAACAACGTATCTACCTCGTTTCCGACTTTTCCAGCTAGGCGTCGATCCCAAGAGAGAATAGACATGCATTCGAGTCTCAGGAGGAAGTTCGTCACGCGACCCGTTCGTCACGATATCCAGCGACGTCGTTCGATACCGACGACTCGAGAATACCGACTAGTCCCGACGGTGATGTCAACGTCGACAAAAAACAGTAATGGTCTGGTTCATCGGAACAGGTTCGTAAAGATCACGATCTTAAAGATCTACGCGGTCTCCGTTCGACGAACCGTCAACCCGTTCCGTCGGTCACCGTCGGTCGTGCGAATCGATGAATCGTGAAAACGGACGTCGAGTTCCGAATCATCGTCTCGGGAACACAACTAAAAAACGTCAGAATCTCCAACGCGTAAAAACCATCGGCTATGTAAAAACAAAGATGATCAGCGCTTCTACAGTTAGAAAGAGTCTCAAAGTACATAATAGACGAACGCACGATCTATTAATATCGTCGACCGATCACTCGCGATGCTCAGCTTTAATTCTGATCAAAATCTCGATGGTTCACGGGTAAACATTGAGCATCGGTGAACCGACACGAGTTTCAGTTCGCGTCGTTCGTTGATCGGAGAACATTCTCCGGTCAGGAATTTTACCGGGGCAACTTTACCGAAAGACCTTCTACAGAAGTCACCAGCTGAATAAGACACTCTGGCCGATGTCGCGTACGTACATAGAAATACCACGCTGGCCTTTCAGTGGCATTCAGGTCTTTTTTCCTGCTTTCCGACTCGTGTCAGGGATCGAACTCCTACGAGAGCGGAAGTAACGGCGCTTTCACGGATCGTTCGATCGGTCCTCGATCCGACGAGAGAAACGATCGAGGGATACTTGCGGAGGGTGAGACGAGGAATCAATCGGTCTCTTCGCGGCTGGAACCGTACGCGTACTCGCGTACTTCGAAATGAACATGCTCCTGGCGCCAAACTCGAAACGCCGAGCAGAAATTTCACGAGAGCTGAGGAGAGACAGAGATCGCGCAAAGGTGTTCGGTCGTCGGAGCTTACCGCATATCTTGGAAGAGAGCGATGTCGTTCGAACGATTTGTGTCGCGTATCACGTGAACCGGGCGTATCCGCTCGTCATATCCGTACTCTGTCGACGCACTCACGTCTCGACCATCGAGTCCTTGCGCTCGCCTTGTCGTCCTCCTCCGACGATTTATTACTCGCGCTCGTTCTCTTCACGTTGCACCGTTCGAAGCTCCACGGACAGGTTCGAGATCCTCCGTTCGTCTTCGTTCGAGTCGGTCGAAAAGGCCGCTTTCGCGAACTCGCGCTACCGCTGCCGTTGGAAACACACGAGCAGAAACATCGCCGCGAACACCGCTGACAGACACGACACGTACACGCGTCTACCAGCGAGCGAGCATCGCTACGACCGCCACGGTTTCCCACCACTCCTTCGTCTCGCCTTCTGTTTAAACTTATAAATAGATATCTGGGTGCGTTCGATTATATTTATATGTACGCGGACGTACGTGTACGCTTTTAAGTTCCTACACCCTCGCGCGTACGCGGACACAGAACAGCGTGCCCTTTCGCGAAGTAAGCGTATCGTTCGCGATGCGTTTAGTTACGCGTTACATACACACACACACACACTCTTTCTCTCTCTCTTTCTCACCCTCTCTGGCGACTGTCTCTTCCCGTTCCCACCCTACCTCGTCGTCGACTCTCCCCTGGTTTCCTAGTTCGAGCAAACTCGTCCAAAGGAAATTTCTGATTCCCGTTACGAAACGTTCAGAAAACGTAAACGTAGAGAAGCTCGATGGGAAAGAGTGAGCTCACCTTCTCGCTGCGTGCCGCTCTTCTCTCATACTACGGTGATCGTCCACAGCTCGCACCCTCGCGAATCTACCCGGTTATCGTGGCGACCGAACCAGCCAACGATCTCCGAACGCAGGCGACCCTCGACGATCCAGATCTAGGTTCCCCTTTTTCTCTCTCACCCTCGATCTATGTCGTACCTCATTCGTCGCACTCACGGAAGTTCTCTCGCGAGGGTGAAACGATACGCGAACCGTGTATCGAGAGCCACGGTGCGAAGCACGGATCTCGTCTCGGTCGGCCGTATGAGTACCTCGACCGAGAGACCCGTCTACCCTTCCCGAGACTCGGAGAGCTCTTTGGATTCCAAAAATTCGGAAGAAATACGCCAACGACACGACGTCGACGACAATGAACACGACGCGACGTCGACGACAATGAACACGGCGCGACTCGTCGGCGACGATAACGACGGCACACGACACGTTCGCCTCGACGATGTGCTGCCGGTCCGACGAGAGCGACGCCTGGCGTCGCGACGCCCCTCGGCGACGTAGGACGGCTGCCAGCGCGACGACGCGACGCCGAGCGTCGACCAACGTTCCTCGTTCTCGACAATTTTTTCGGCCGCACGCACGGTCCGTTGAAATCCATCGCGTACTCGCGATATTGATAAAAGTGATCGAATAAAAAGAACAGACAAAAGTGATTAATTCATTTGAACGAAAGAACATCGGCGATTCTCGTTTAAATGGAAGTATAAAAAGAACGGAGCTACGCCGACGACGTTGGATACGAACCACGGTCTTTTACGTTGCGTTAAATTTATGTATATAAAGTTTATCACGTTTGTCACTGATTTCATTTGTAATCAGAAAATGAATAAAGCCCGCTGCATTTTAAATATGCGCTGGCGCGCGAGCAGCATAAAATAGATCGCGCGTTCAGCGTCCCGGTCGAGAAGCCGACAGCAGGACGAAAAGAGATAATCGCGGCATGGGTCCCTTTGTCTAATCGCGTATGCGCAGCAGTGCATCCCGTTTCGAACCTCACTCAGTTGCACGCGCTACGACGCTGCGCTGAGAAGAGAGGAACTTTCTATTTCAAATAATCATTTGGTTAATGTACTTGGACATACAAAAAATTTTTCTCTATTTGATTCATTATTTAGAGTTCATTTGAAATAGTATTTCACTCTATCTTTTATTTGATCAAATATTTGTCAAAATCCAATTGAATCCAGAACCACGATCATCATTAAAGCTGAAATTAAAACTACGATCCTAATCAGAATTCGTATTAAAATCGGGAACCTAATTAAATGATAGAGCACGTACAATTGCAAGCCCCAGCTATTAAAATAAATTCATCAATATTTCCAGTTTAATTCCTTTATTTTCAATTAACTCCGAATACACATTGCGACGCCAGAGCACTGCAACTCGTGGAGTGTTGCCGACGGCCATTCTCAGTCCCCTAACTCCACAATACGACCGTGCTTCTGACAAGAAGCCATGAGCGCCATCGAGCGAACTTACGAGTAGTTATTACGGACCAAACCTATGAGAAATCAAATCAGCATATATGTAAATGTTCGCATAAGCGTCAGGAGGGCTGAACTCACATGTATCTATTATTTTATAATTGTTTAAAATGCTGTGCTTTTAATAGGCATACAATTTTTGTATCACCGATAGAAATAAATACGCTCTATAATTAACAACGCGTCGGTCTACCCGTAGAACCTTATGCTATTTTTAAACTGTAAGACTGAAGAAAAGATAAGCCGGGGTTCTCGAGGGCCTGCGTTTTATTTATACAATCTTCTATATTTATACAAGTATGTACTGAGAAAGCAACGACTTTAAACATCATGCAAATACATGTGTTAAAAAATTTCGTCAAACGAATGCAATGCCCTATTTTTTTATGCTTCTAGAGATGAGAAACGTCATTGCGAAATTCATTGCTCCAAACGCACTCGCGTATCTCGCGCATCCATATGTATTTAACGATTTTAATCTAGCAGCATGATACGATGAGTATACATGCAGTCAAGTATACGTGCATCGTGTATAACCTGAAATCTGAAACACGTCCCTGCAGCGACGGTGAGAATGAATGGCTAACGAAGCAAAAAGCGTAATCTTGGTAATCATTAATGATAATTCATAGAATCGTATGATTCTCGACGAATGAAGGCCGCGATCTCGCAGTTGGGAACAAAGGTATTCCGAGTATTCGTGCATTGTTCGAGTCGGCCAGTACTCAAGGACCTTGGACATTGATCCACTACGCGCGCGGGTGGGCGTTCGAAAAAGGATAAATGAATTTAAACAGCTGATAAATACGTGAAGAGGCGAATTATCAAGCCGATTAAAAAAATGAATGTATGTTAGTAACGAAACGATTACCGGAAATAAACTGGCATTTCCGACGCGGCCTGTTGGAACGTTCGCTGCGATTGGGGAATCGAATTGGGTTACATTGGAAAGAGCGAATGAGCCGATGTTAATAGGGGCTTAGAGGGAATCGGAAACTGTTGCTGACTCTCTTTCTTTCGGTCGTAAGCCGGCACCGGTTCACCATAAGAACCGACTGTGACGCGTGCCAACTGTTCCGAAATTATTCTGGTGCGCAGTATTTCGTTGCTTTCACCGATCCGATCTCGATACGAGAAGGCCACGTTGTATTTTCCCGAGGTGGTTTTTACGTGGTGAGTTGTAAACGGCACGCGATGGCGACGGTCGACTGTTACCAGAATCAAGCCCAAAACGAGGGTACCGGCCAACCGAATCAACAGCAGCAGCAGCAGCAACAGACCGAGCAACCTCAGCAGCAACAATCTCAACAATCGCAACCGCAGCAGCAGCAGCGGAGTCAAGAAACGCAACAAGCCACCGCGGGTATACCAGGCAAAGATGACGAACGCAAACTCTTTGTCGGTGGTCTATCGCGTAACACCACCGACAAAGAATTACGAGATCACTTTGGGAAATTTGGCGAGATCGAGAGCATCTCGGTTAAAATTGATCCATATACCGGTGTCTCCCGAGGTTTCGCATTTATGGTGTTCACCAATCCAAAAACGATCGACAAACTTCTAGCTTCTGGTGAACATTACATCAATAAGAGAAAGGTTCGTTGAATTTTTCCCGGATATAATGCGTACGCGTTCCCCGTAAACTTTTTTTTTTTTAATTCCGTTTGACTCAGGTGGATCCGAAACGGGTTAGCAAAAAGCCTCAACACGGGAAGATTTTCGTGGGTGGCCTCACGCCCGAAATAACCGACGAGGATATCACAAATTATTTCGGACAATACGGTACTATAGTCGAACTACAAACACCGTTCGACAAAGTAAAGAATCAGAGAAAAGGATTCTGTTTCATAACGTTTGACTCGAAGGAAGTTGTATATAAATTACTCAAGACCCCGAAACAAACGATAAACGGGAAGGAGGTAGACGTGAAAAAAGTCCGAGTCAACGTGGACCCGAGGAATCAAGGATTTTGGGGGCCAGGCTATGGCTACGGATACGGTGGAGGCTACGGTTACATTCCCGAATATTGTAACGGATACCAAGGGGGATACGACGACATGTACGCGAACTACGATTATGCGGGGTACGACGGGTACGATAACATGGGATACGGGACTCAAGGTAAGCCTAGAGGAAATGGTCAGGGACCTCGCCAATTTCAGAGACATCAACCGTATTAAAGTCAAATTTATCAACGATTACAAGCTTGAAACTTGGTGATAAAGCGAGAACACGTTAAGGAGTAGATCAACTTTGTTCATACGTACAGTCCGAGACTGACAATGAGACGGGGAAATTTGGGATAAGAAAAAGCTTGCGCAGTCAATGAAAGACCCAAATTCTCTTGATCTACGCGCGTCGAGTCTGTAAAATACTAGATAGCTCTATGTACATTTACTAAAAGAAAGAAAGAAAAAGAAACACGTGAATTTTGATTAATTTGCGATTGATGTAATTTATCGAGACAAAAGTATCGTGTTTTTGCCGACTTGTGTCGAGACGCGTCACGAACAAACAATTTTTTGCATACGTTCAAGTATTTTAATCATAGTCGAAACGTTCCGTGGATTCGATCATCGAAACTATTTCTGCCTTAGATAGAAATCATGTGTCTAAGGCAAATGAATCGGACGATTGCTTTACTCCCGTTTTCTTGTTCTATTCATGATTCATAATACTATGAAATATAACATGTATATCTTATAATTTAATACTCTAATTATTCTTTAGTATCTTAAGTTGCATTACTAAAGTATTGTTTATTATGCATATATGCTTGATGTTATTATTATTATTATAGAAACACAACGACGCAGTATCGTTTCTAATAGGACTTTACGTCGATAAACAGTTTCAGTTGAGCAACGGAAAACACTTGTCCCAGTTAAGAGACACGCGAGATAGATATTAAATAAATTTACCATACATGGACCAATGGTTCGTACTACTAATTAAACGTACTTCCTCATCAATTTGTAACCTACCATATATTATCTAATATCATCTATGACTGTTTATATATTAAAGTAAGTCCTGTAACTTATCCGAGTCGAGTACGAACGGTAACGTAAGAGACATACGCATCTTTGTATGTCACATGTATATACGTGTACGCGCATGCATAGCGGTGTATGTACACGTGTGCGAAATAGTACGTAAGAAAGTAAGCATTAAGAGAAAGATGAAGTTATTTCAATATAAATATAATTAAAATATATTATATATATATACATACATACATACACACATATATATATGTGTATATATATATACATATATACATTCATATATACGTTAACGTCCTGGGTAGATACGCGAAGAGTGTGCGAGTGGAATGAAATCAGGAGATATTCTAAAAGAAAAATCAATGTTCAAAGTCACGTAAGGAGAGCAATAATCATACGGTGGCACGCGCATCGTTTCGTAATCATTTTTACAGTTTTATCGATACGATTTACGATTTCCCCCGCCCCCGGTTATTTTCTTTTCTTTCTTTTTTATTGCTGCTCGATAATTCCCACAGCCTGTCCATTCTCCGTGAGATACTGAAAGGTTAATTTTATAAAATCTGAGATCGCTACGCTCGTGTACTCCTGTGTCACGCAAATACACAACTATGAATATGGTAAAAATGATTACAGCTTGTTACGTGAGAAACGTTTACCGAACGCCGAAACAACGGAATGTTTAAGCCATTGGAACTAAACGATAAGAGTAAAAAAGATTACTCTGATTTAAGGGACATTTTTGCATTTGCATCAAACAGTTGTTCCTGTCTGGTGTACAAAGACTGCTCTTCATATCGCAAGAAGACTGTTTATGCATAGAGTATCGTCCGACACGATACGAGTACTAGAGAATTCGACAGCCGATACTATGATGTCTCGTATGAAAGGGAGAGAGAGAAAGAGAGAGAGAGAAAGAACGAGAGAGCGAGAGATAGAGAGAAAAAGATTCGACAAACGAATTATACTAACTGTAGATACGGGATTGTGAGATATATCTAGGTACATCGAAATTATATTACACACACAAGGCTGACAAGGCTTTAAACATTCAAGTTTTTCTCAGATGTTACAAAAGAACTGATAGTTTGGCTTAAACGAATTTCACGACGATACATACGTACGCGCAAACAACACGTTTCCCATTCGATTCTAAACACGATTGACTATTATCGAGCCAAACTAAATGTACTTTTGAATTTAAAGCTGTATACTGTGTATACCATATTTGCAGCATATGGGAAGAAGAAACAAAGATATATATACGTATATAAAAGATCAGATTGTGAAATTAAAGGAAATAACACAAATATTTTGTTACTATTGATTACTATTCGCCTGTTTCACCCATGACACAATGTATATTTTAATTATAACAAAAAAAAAAATAAAATATTCATCACTTGAAAATTCTATTTACTGTCATATCTTTTTTTTAACAAGTATAGAAGTCCCTCGTTACTTTCGACAATGGTCGCTAATCAAGTTCTTGTTAACGATAACAATTCGGCATATGGCTAAACTATGTACAAAGTTAATTGCAAACTGTTTCAAATTCCGAAATTGCTCTTTGGTTGTATCGTCGATTATTCTACGATTTCACCGTGAGATGGCTTCGTCATGCTAGAATAGAGCAAGTATATATTAGATATTGAAATTCCACTGATCGCGAAAAACGTCCGGTCGATCGAGAATCGACAATCTTCTTGCGTCAGGCATGTACGCAAACGCATGTACGTAGACCGTGGTCATCGTCAACATGTGCACGCAGAAGAGACGGGACAGAAACGGAAGAGAAGGCACAAAGGCAGCGAAGGCGAGTGAATTGAGAATGCGGCTTAGTGGGTAGACGGTGTAGTTGCATGTGTGCATTTGCACGGACATGAAATGTTAGAGTGTTCGTAAGACGTATGTAAACGGCAAACGGATGGATGGACGGATGAACGTGCAGTGCAGTTCGTGCAGTTGGTTGACTTGCATTGACTTGGTTGAGTGCAATCGGTGCAGCCGCAGTTCGAGAACGGGGGCTTCGGAGTATGTAGTCGGATGAACGTACCACTCGGATAGCTGACTGTAGCTGACTACAGTGTCATCGCGTCGGTGCGGGTCATTTTGTGGGAAGCAAGAAGCGTAGACGAGCGTCGAAGTCGAAAGTTCGAAAAGGAGCAAGCGTTTCCTACTATGTCTGGTAGAGAATTGATACGCGTCGCGTTACGATCGACGTTGCCCGCCTGGCCAAGGGGATCCACGATGTAGCCTCTTTCGTGGTCTCGATTTTATTTATTCTTCATCGATGTTCCAAGAAGTATCGTTGGGAGCATTTCGTGCAACATTTTCGAAGACTAGTCGCATGAAATCTCTTCGAGTGGTTCTCGTAACAACGTTCGCCTATTGCCGTATCACCTCTGCCCGTTACTTTATATGTTTTCGTTCCCGTTCGCGTTCTCGTCTCATCTCCAAGTGCCTTTTCTCTCCCTCCGATACTTTTGATTCATTGTTTTCTCGATCCGAAAATCGAGTCGTGAAAGCCAGTACATGCTCGCCCAGTGACATACCCCGCGATATCTCTGTCAATTCGGTAAGTTCAACGTTTAACGATCGTATCAAACCAATTTTGTGTTCACGTTTATCCAACACGTTCTTCTTACGTATTATTATTGTTTGTCAATCGCCAATCGTTCTCGTTCTCGCTCTCGCTCGTGTCGCGGTCACTCGCGTTTCCGAGAGTTCCGTACCTCGCTTCACGATGTTATTACGTATATTCCTTGACGTTTCCCTGTTCGCTAATCGCTATTTTTCAGGACAGGCGACTCGCTTACGCCGCAATATCGTTCAAAAATTGACAAAGTTTTCCTTCGAGGGAAGATTCATTCCGAAGATTCATTCCGAAAATAATGATAGACGATGCACACGAGATCGATGGTCGCGTGATCGGAGCAATGTAATTTTTGTCATCTCCTCGCTACTTACGCGGAGCAAATTGTAAACGAATTTTCTCGTGAAGCTGTTTGTAACCGTTTTACGAGAAATCATCCCTTCAACAAACGTTTCTCTTGATCAAACTATGACGCGTTATTTCAATGTCAACTGGTTATAAATACGCGGAATACGTTACGGTGTATTCCTACCGAATGCACACGCGTCAAATCGAAAAGGAGATGAACGAAGCTAGCTCTTGTCCAAGTGCTGCGACATAATTAGAAATGTATCCGAAAGACAGAATGAACGTCGTCAGAGTTCACGCATTGTTGATCGTCTAACGACAACACGCTGCTGAAATTTCGATCGTTTCCAGATACAGGGTGGACGATTCGTTTAAGAATGCGTAAAACTTTGTTTTGAATGGACCGTCGTCTCGTGGACTGAAGACCAGATGGCAAACTGAAAGGCAGAGTGTCCTCGTTCGATACGTAGAATAAAAGAAAAAGATGTCCCAATTAAGTATCAATTCAGGAAAAAGAGGGAGGAGTGTTGCAAGCTCCTCTGCGTCTACTGTATCGTCGCTGAGCAGCTCGACCGATCTAGCCAGCCTTTTCGAGTGCCCGGTTTGTTTTGATTACGTTCTTCCACCGATCTTACAATGCCAGAGCGGACACCTCGTTTGTAGCAATTGTAGACCGAAGCTCAACTGCTGTCCTACCTGTAGAGGCCCGTTAGGTACGTACGAATCGTCGAAGAAACGATCTTAGAAAAGAGCGCGCCTCGATCAAAATTTCACATCGACGCTAGGTAATATCCGCAATCTGGCCATGGAGAAGGTAGCAGGAAACGTGATGTTCCCTTGCAAATATTCAACGAGCGGTTGCACCGTTTCACTGGTACACACCGAGAAAGCAGATCACGAAGATGCGTGCGAATTCCGTCCATACAGTTGTCCTTGCCCAGGCGCTTCCTGTAAGTGGCAAGGATCCCTCGAACAAGTGATGCCCCATCTCGTCATGAGTCACAAGAGCATCACGACTCTCCAAGGTAATTATTCTCATCGTGGTTACGAGAGGAACGTGTATCAAACGATTGGTTCCCCTCTTCCTTCGCAGGGGAAGACATCGTTTTTTTGGCGACCGATATCAATCTCCCTGGTGCGGTAGACTGGGTAATGATGCAGTCTTGTTTCGGTCATCACTTCATGCTGGTGCTTGAGAAACAAGAAAAATACGACGGACATCAGCAATTCTTCGCGATCGTTCAATTGATCGGCTCGAGGAAACAGGCGGAAAACTTTGCTTATAGGTGAGCATCCAGGCGAGGGGATGGAGCAAGAGCTACGCGACCGACGATTCCTCGCGATGTAATGCGATTTCAATTTGATGTTCGACAGATTAGAATTGAACGGACACAAAAGACGCCTGACGTGGGAAGCCATGCCGCGTTCCATTCACGAAGGCGTGTCGTCGGCGATTTTAAATTCGGATTGCCTCGTGTTCGACACGTCGATCGCGCAACTATTTGCTGACAACGGAAATCTAGGAATCAATGTTACAATTTCTATGGCATGAGGAAAGCTGGAGAAAGCGGTGTGAAATTTTTTAGCGCGATCATCGATCGTTCTTTCGACCATGATTCGATCGTCTTCTCGAGGATTGCATGTTATGTACATATAGCATTTTTTTGTACGTTACCACAGATATTATAAATACGATCATCGATACGGACGTTAGGAAATGTTTGGAACGTGTTTGGAGGCACAGCGATCGAGTTGATTGAGTTATATACGATATACGACAGGACCTCTCTTTAGAAGCTTTAAAGCGTTACTTCTATGTGATATTAATGCTACAGGTTCGTACATCAAACGACCTGTCGATCTATTTATTTTGATGTGAAAGCTGTAGCCAATCAAGTGACGATGACTAAAACGATCCGCTCGATTCCAATACGTATCCGACGCCCATTGCGTACTGTTAATCATCTTCTTTTACTTAATCCATTAGTTACTCTTCCGTCTCACGGCGAGAACCGATCTTTTTTTTTTTAAATCTCGATGCTTTGTATTTTATGCGACGTCCTTTATAGGTATAACGTTATATGTTATGGAAAGAAATATAGTTTTCGTCCAAGTGTAACCATTCTCTATCTTTATTACGCAACATTGTAAGGAAAAATTCAAGCCCTGTCTACGTAATTTTCTATTGTATGATAACAGACTCGAACAGGCGATTCTCATTATTTATTCCCATTTAAAAATTTCCGTGTGCGTACTAGAATATTTATTATTATTACTACTACTACTACTACTATTATTATTACTATTATTATTATATCCTCTTTTAACTTTCTTTACAACTGTAATTCGAATCCTTTTTTAAATAAATTTGCTTACGATACACAAGTATCGTTCTCCGAGTCTGTTGGTTCATTTCCTACATTCAGATTTTTGTTAAAAGATCAACTAAATAAAAGATCGCACGAGCCGCGAGCCCAGGGGATCTTCCACGCATGGCACTGTGGTGAAATCCATCTGGTTCAAATTCAGAACATTGCCACCAGAGATCTCTAATCGGCACTTCCCCTCTGATTTTTCCGATGTCGGTCGGACCGATGATGTCGGACCGTCGGACAGTAGTTTAATTTTCTGACAGTTCTATTCGGGATACACCGAAACGGTTTTATATGTATAAAAGCTCATTAAACACTGAATAGTATTCCGGTACTTTAATATATCGTTAACCATGAAATGTATTTAATTCTATAAAATATAAATAAACGTGAAAGAAGGTGAAGGTATGTTTCGTCTTCGAATTCGATCTGCGTACACGTAACTTGTGGAATCGCGACCGTTCCGTTTATCGTTCTGTTTCACAAAAGAGACTGATAATTCTACTACGGCAATGCCCACGAAAAGAAATTCCAACTATCCGAAAATACTTGAGCGTCAGTGAATTTCCCTGGTAGGTTAGACACATTCCTGTGTAAGGTTGCATCGTTCCACACCGCCAGGCCAGCGTTCGAGCGTTCAAACGTTCGAACAGAATTGGAAACATGTTACAACGAGCTCCCAATCTTCTCAGACTGATTCATAACGTTAGCCGATGTAACAAAGATTGTTTATACATATTTCAAGTAGGCTGTACAAAAAGACATACCGGTTTGATTACGTGTAACTACAGTGCGAGATGCAAACTGCACGTAATCGCGAGCAGCCCGGTGTTTGCCGCGAAAGCAAAAGGAGCGGAACACCTACCAGAATGGAGGTGGCTCCTTGTCACGACGTCCAGACGTCCTATCTCCGTCGTAGCGAGATTGCAGAAAGACGAACAAGGAGGAGATCGTAAACAGTGTGATGAACAAGTGCAACAGAGGATAATAGAATTGAAAAAAGAAAATTTGGGCCAGCTTAAAGAGAGAAAGCTGGACGTCAGAGCTAAGGATGATGGTCAAGCAAAGATTGACGGGCCACAGGAGTCGAAGCCCGAAGGTACAGATAAAGTTCCGAGTAATAAGGCTCTTATATCTCTATCGTTTCTCACATTATAGTCGTCAAGAAGAGGATCAAAATGGACAAGAGTGCATCGTCTCTAGAACGTAATTTCATTACCCCAGTAAGAGCCATGTCCGATTTTTTATTAAAGCCGTCCGACCTCGAGAACATACCAAAAACGAAGAGAAGATCACCGTACGAATTCGAACCACCGATCACCGTCTACTGGCGAAAAGACGTGGAAGCTAAGTGAGTTTAAAAAACGATTCCTCGTACGGACGACATTCAGAAGTTACGTTTGGTTTTCAGAGCGTTAGAAGTTTGGGGCTCGCGGGAAGCTCTGGCGAAAGAGCTGCTCAAGAAAGAACTCTCGCAGAAACAATATCAGCAAAGTAAGGACGGTGACACCGCGGACCAAGTTCCGTCCCATCTTACTGTAAACGGCCCGTCTGTTTCCAGATATATTTACCGTGAAACGGAGACTGAGAGACTACAGACGGGAAATGGGTAGCAAAGCCGAGTTCGTCGAACAGGAAGGACTGTTCGGTAGATCCGGCAAGGTGGTCTTGACCGCTATCGTGATGTACGTACGCCGTTTGAGATTAATTTTATTTCTCATCTAACGTTCCTTTTTACTCTTTTGTTCAGCAACGGCAGCAATTTTTTATTTAAATTGTGTGCGTGGTTGTACACGGGCTCGCACAGTATGTTCTCGGAGTGCGTGCACTCCGCCGCGGACACGTGCAACCAGTTGATATTGGCTTACGGCATACACAAATCGGTACAGGTAAGCGTCAGCGATCGTGTCTATCTCGGTCGGATCTATCACGAACGAACGAACTATACGCATGTTTCAGACTCCTAATCCCGATCACCCGTACGGTTACACGAATATGAAATACGTCTCCTCTCTGATATCTGGCGTCGGTATATTTTGCGTCGGGACTGGTTTGTCGATTTATCACGGCATCCACGGCCTGCTGAATCCGTCCGTGGTGGAATCGTTCTACTGGGCGTACTTCATCCTAGCCGGTTCTCTGGTGTCCGAAGGCGCGACTTTATTAGTCGCGATACAATCGATCAAGAAAGGAGCGGAGGAGAAGCGGCAGACGTTCAAGCAATACGTGTTGGGAGGTCAAGATCCTTCTGTGAATGTCGTGCTCATGGAAGATCTCGCGGCGGCAAGTGTTTTCACGTACGCGGCAACGGGGAAAAAAGAATCTTACGATTACCAATCGTATCTTTTTTTCTTTGTCTCCGTGCAGGTTCTTGGTCTCGTTTGCGCGGCGAGCTGCATGGGCTTGACTTCATACTTGGAGAATCCTATGTTCGACTCGATTGGATCTCTTTTGGTCGGCGGTCTGCTGGGCGCAGTGGCCGGTTTCATAATACACACGAACGCCGCTGCTCTCATCGGCAGAAGTATATCTCAAGAAGATCTCGATAAGATCAACGCCGAATTGGAATCGGACATAATGGTAAATATTCGTCAAGTTGACCGGTGAGCGGAAACGGAATGATCGTTGATTGTTTAGGTTCGCGCGATCTACGATGTGAAAGGTATCGATATGGGCAACAACTTGGTTCGGTACAAGGCCGAGCTGGACTTTGACGGGAGAGAATTGACGAGATCTTATCTGGAGAAGAACGATATGGTCGAAATGTTAAAGGTAATAGTCGAACGGCCACGGTGCGACTGGCGTGATATCTTACTCGATCGTTGGTCTGATTCGTAGGACGTACAAGCGATGAAAAACATAGACGAGCTGGAAGCGTTCATGTTAAAACATGGCGAAGCTATCGTCGACACTGTTGGCGGGGAGATAGACAGGATGGAATTAAAACTGAAGAAGAAACACCCGGAGATTCGGCACTGCGACTTGGAGATCTTATAACTATTTTTGCTTTATTATTTTGTACAGTATAGAGCGGGGATCCACGTGCTTCTGTAAATAATGTTTAATAACGATCGGACGTTACACGATATGTATTTACACTATATATATACACAATATATATACTTATTTATCGAATAAACGTAGTACACGTGTTTTCCTTCGTAGAAATAAACTCGAGCGAGCTCTCTGATTTTTATCGTCCACTGTTTATTGTCCTGTGCCATAAGACCTTCGAATCCTCTAAAGAGAATAAGATGTGCGCGTGTTTCACGCGTGTATGGACTATGAACCCTATGAACTCGTTGCTCATCGATCTTTTCCGACGCGACAACAAACCGTTACTATGGATACTCACGTAAACGAAGAATACGAGGGACCGACGGGCGACGCGGAACCGAGCGGAACGTTGCACAGTTTCCGGCGAAACGATCGCGTTTGGAACATGAATACTTCCGCGATCGCGAGGAGCGCACGTTTTTACGCGATCGGGGAGACGGTGAGATGAATCGGTTCGACGAAGGAATTTCCCGGCGACGGAGCACGCCGGAAGGCTTGTTTAACGAGCGGCGTTCGAGCAGCGAAGAATCTTCAACCCTCGCGACCGCTGATTCGCCGCGATTGAAAAGCACGCCCCTCGGACCGCGAGACGATTTAAAAGAAATCGATGGGTCTCGGCGAGGTCCGCGAAAGATCGAACGGGTGCTCTCGGGTGGTTCGCACAGGTTTCACAGGCGGAGAATCCGGAAAAAGAGTCGCGAAAGAGTCGACGGAGGAAGCGAGAGGCGACGCGACAGGCGGAAGAAGCGAAGACATCGTCTCGAAGACGAAAATCACGATGAAGAGCAAAAAGACTCCTCGGGCTCTTCGAACGAGACTCACGGCGACAGCGATGTGAAACCGGAACGGTCCAAAAGAAAACGGGACGGTGAGTCAGGCACGACGCGAATACCGGTGACTCTTTAAAAATGATCGCGTTTCAGACGAGCGAACGAACGAATTACCGATCACGGAAATTTTGAAGAGATCTCAAGAGAACGCGAGAACCAAGTACGAGGATCAATCGCCTCTCCCCGTGTTGGTCACGGACAAGGTTTACGTGCAGCGCAAGGATGGCTTCAGCGCTATAAAAATGAATCAATCCCGCGATGAAAGGAAACGCGCGTCCGAGGAAAACATAGACGAAGATCGAAACGCACCACCCATAAGATTAGCGATTGCGATCCAACGACTCTGGAAGAACACCGGCTTCTTTCATCAAGGTCTACTGGCGGGCATGGCGCTCATGCATTGCGCGATGGTGCGTAGATCGTTCTACCATCATCGTTTTTCAGTCTTCCTAACGTTTATTCGTATTACAGCTACATGTATTTTTTGACGTCTCTACAGAGTTCATAGTCAAGTATTCGATCCTGTGCGAGATTTATACGAACGCGTTCTCGTTTCTCATCGCTGTATGCGTCGTGTCGACGTTCGACAAGTAAATCACGATTTAACGATTTCACACAAGTATCGAACGTATTCTGAATCCGTGTTCTCGTCAGATTCGACTTGGCCCGTTTCGACGTCGATCATCTACGGGAGTTATATTTCGAATACGACCGGGCAGTGATCGCGATTCCTCTGTATCTGATAGCTCTCTGCCTTCATCTGGTCTGTGCGAGAACCGACACCCGATTGGGTTTGACGCAGTATCGGAACAATTTCAGCGCGTGGGAGAACGTAAGGACCGGAGAACGAGACGTCGTGCTTCGACTCTAAACGAATTTGTTTGCAGACGACCGACGTTTCATCTCTCATAGACGATTTAAGCAGCTGGCAAAAAATAACCACGTCTAAAGACTTACTCGTGACGTTCGCCTGGGTGTTTGTTTCCCTCGGCACCAAAGACGACTCGTTCTTGACGTATCTCCGATCGATGGAGAAATACACGAACGACGTTGAGTCCTCCAACCGGTAATTTCGACCGTGAGGAGTACGATTCTTTTTTAATTTCATTTCCTCGGGGATTCAGAAGCAACGCACGTCAATGTATGTTTTTCATATTTATTTGTAACAGAATAAAGTATGCGATATATGTGTATATATATGTACAGTATTTATAAAGTTCTAAATTCTAACAGACGGTACGCGCACGTAACGAAGACGATAACATTGAGAATAAAATAACGTACGGCACGATCGTGGATGCAATAGTAAAATACGTATACATGTGTATATTCGTGTACGTTCTTGTCCCGAGACGCGAGTCTCGAGCACGCGGATAAATCGAAAAAATGTCCAGGTGAAACGGCCAACAAAGGATCGTTGCGTCATCGTGTAATAAATAAAGTATACAAGGTAGACGAAATCAGACGAGTGCGACGCGCCATCCGATTCCTCCACTTTCATCATAAATACGTACATGGTAGAAATACGGTAGTCACATACGATGCTTCTAACGCCAACGGCCTTCCCTGCTCGATCATGCGATAGAATTGAAAATATTTCTTCGAACTTAATCCTAATTCGTGAAGGCACTGTTTCGCAGTTCTGTTACGTTTACAGCTTACGTCTCGACCGTTCGGTTCTTTTTTTTAGTACTGGACGTGACACGGTGGACCGTTCGATCGAGAAATCGGGATTGGCCCCAAAGAAATAGCGCCGTTTCGATCGCGATTCTGCTGTCTATCCAAGAGATACGCGTGACCCGTGTGTACGCGTCTACGCATACGTAAAAACGCGTCCTTACGCGTCTGTTGCGGCAGTGTACGAAGAGAGACAGCGCGTGATTCGTACGAGCTGTCGCGCGTCGATCGTTTTCCGCGGAGAGAGAGACAGCGTCGTGTAAAAAAGTTTGGATCGTCGATGTCCGTGGAAGGACGTCCCGCGCATCAATAGCGTTGAAACGTTTAGTCCAATCCAAAATCGTCATGGTTTCAAAGGTGGAGCACGAGGCAGTGCAAGACCGATCGAGATGTTCGCTCTGTCTCGAGAGGGACGAGGTATCGTCGAGGGGGGTCTGTTTTCTCCTCGAACGATCAAAGGAGACAGTCGGAAAGAGACGTCAGTCAACGAACGCGAGCTACCGTTCTTCTCGCTTTGAGACCGACTTTGGACATTGACTCTCGTCGAATAATGCCGAGAAAATTATTGCGACGGTTCGAATTCACCTTTTCCGTTTCTTTTCCCTTTCGAGTTCTCTTCGCAGGCCCACCTGCCGCGAGGGAAAGAACCGGACAGGAGTCTCTGCGAGTTCCATTTTACGGGGCTAAGGACACGGCGAACGACCAACGTCCGGAGGTCTTTGGCCATCTCGGTCCGCTTCCTCCCAAATCGACGCTCGGACGGCTCCGGTACCCTTCGGCATGTACCTGCACCAGGAGCGGCCGTTCCTCTCGCTTGGTCGCACAGATTCTCAGTCGTCAAAGTGATGCCTCAGCTTTATGTACAAGCACGAGCCGAGCACTATGCCGAAAAGCTCGAGAACGGAGAGTCCCAGGCCTACCGCACCCAAGATTATCAGGTGATCCTTCGTGGTCTCCAGAAATTTGTAGATGCAACCCTGAAGCAGAATCGTTCCTAGTTCCGAATTTCCCGAGACTCCCAACATTCGAGGCAAATGCATGTATGACTGTACGTACCGTGTAATGGATGTTCGAGGGATGGTCCCTTCTGCCGCAGAGGACCGTAGGCGTCTTGCAGCAGCTGTCGGGAACGAGACTTCCGTTCCTGAGAACCTTTTCGTCCTTGTGCCACTCGCTGACCAGCCAGTCTTCGAATCTCAACGCTCCGCAGCATTTGAACTGAGATTCAACAGGATCGATACGAATAAATACGAAAGTATCAATTTCTAGTAGGACGGTCAGGGAAAGAGATCGATGGAAAGCGTGTGCAGCGAAGGTCAGAAAATTCTGTGATCGGTGAAAGGGCTGCTCGCGCTTACCTCTGTCTGCATCTGATCGATGGCTGAAGTTTCCCTGCTCCTCACGGAATAATTGTCGAGGAAGGTTCGATTAAGATTCATTTTCAATTCGGGACCGACCTGTTCCTCGTAGAGCCGCGCCAAGGCGCCGACTCCGACTTCCAGGACGAATACCAGCATCACTACGAATACGTACTACACAGAAAGAGAACAACGGTTTGGCAGATACAAACGATTCACGAACGTTCGTTCGCTCTCTTTCTCATCGTCGGTCTTTGACCATTTTCAACGAAACATCTCGAAACGCGACCGATAATTTACGCGTGCGACGTCGAATGCTCAACGGAGGAAAGACGGGTCACGCGACGGGCAGCGTCGGCCACTGTCACCGCTAACGACTCGGCTCGGCTCCAAAAGCGGAAGATCGCGGTTAACGATCGCCATGCGAGGGAGTAAGCGAGTAAATTCTCCTCTCGTCCAGGAGCCCGTTACCAAGCTCGATCACGATCGACTATACGGATGCGATGGGTGACTCGCGTTAGACTTCTGGGCTTTCAAGGATTTATTCGATTTTCATTCGATAGAAATTTATACCGGGAATAATAAGAGAGAGAAAAGAATAGTTTCGTGATCCGTAAAACGCTACGCGAAGCATTTTACAATTCTCATGAATATAATTCTTCGACGCGATTCGCTCGCAGTGAATATTCAAATCTTGGCTCTCGGATTTTGGATGGAAAGTCACTGCTCATCGTCGATCCGAAAGAATCGAATCAGATTTCTTTTGTACATACGTGCATAGAGAAAAAGACACGATTTTCGAAAGTCCGGTCAGAGAAGATCTCGTCGCTCAGCTACGCGCCGAGAGAAAAATTTTAATTGATCGCCTTATACGGGCTCGGCTAATGAGACGATTCGCTCGTGCCCCGTGCACGGCTTCGGGTAGTGAAAGGGACCAAAATACTTGTACTTACCTACGCCTACCGTATGGGAAAGGAGAAGCGAAGGTTCGCGACGCAGACTCTCGCGGCACTTACATTTGACTCTCTAACAATTTCGAATAACATTTAATATCGTGAATCTAAAGGCGCACTGCGCGCCTTCGCGTCGTTATCGTATATCGAACGTCGACAGGATTTGAAAATATGTTGCTCGCAATGTCCGGAACGAAAGTGGAAGAGGCGGACAGATAATTGAGGTAATCGGGGAGATTCGTTGAGTTTCTCGGGTGGCGGTACAGCATTCGTATGCGGATAAATCGACTCGAGTGGGCCGCGATCGAGATTGAACGCGTCGAATGCTCAGGAAGTAACGCGGCTCGCTATCGCCCGAAGTGACGGCTGGAACCAGTCCTGGTTCGAGACCGGACCGAGGGACCTGCCCCATTCCCGATACTATCTAATTAAAAAGAATCCCGATACGCAGCTGAGTGAGTGCAATTATGACAACGCCACGAACTATAGATCGTGGTTCCGTCCGTCCGTCCGTCCTTCGGGATCGAGCATGTATCATTTTATTGAATGCGACCTTCCTCGTGATCATCCGTTCGAGGAGTAATTGCTGGTAACGTTGACAGGAGGTCACAACGGGATCATGGCAAATTGCGTGGCTAATGATCATGTCTATGATATGTGGTACACGATGGTCGAATCGATCCGATTTGGTCGGAAGTCTCTGTCCCGGCTGACCGAGTAATAAATAAATAAATAAATAAATTTCAAATTATGTAGCTCATATCGAGCGTCGAGCCTTGGTAAAAACGAAACAGACAATTATGAAACGGGTAAACGAAGGAACAGCCGTGGGAGCGAATCTTCGTGATTTGCGAGGCATTTAGCTATCGTTCATGTAGAATTAACTGCGAGAGAAAGAGCCAGTAGCGTCGTAGCTTTAATGGAAACGCGAGATACGCCGCGCCGCGTTAATTCTCAGTTAAGCACAATTTATAGTTTCATGGGAAACGTTAGTTTTCGGATGGATACGGATACCGAGAACGAAATCGTTGACCAAACTTGGGCGTCCGACGTATATCTCGCGTTCGAGCCAACTATAACTACGTCGTATAATTATTTTCGTGCCCTCTAGACAGTGGTCCCGAACGACTATAAAACTGCTCATAACGTTCATAACGCTATCCTTTCTACGTTTCTTTTAACTAGTTTCACTTGGATGAGAGGCTTCGTCTAGCATTGGGAATCGACGATGACAAAGTCGGTCGAGGGAAATCGATCTCGTAAAGGGAATTTGTTACCCATTGATGGTTCAGAGTCGCAAAGGTATGCTTCGCTCTCGTCGCGAACTGCACACAAACGAGATCTAGCCCCCTCGCAGCCGAACGACGTCGGAGGCAGCGAATCGAGTCAAAGGGAAATTTCATCCCGTGGCTACAAACGTAGAAGAATCGAAGTTGGTAACAGAAACTCGAACGAGCGTCGTTTCAAAAGGTTCAGCAAAATACGATCTCTTTAAGGATGTATTAGCTATACAGTACCTTAGAAAAACGCATTTTATATAATTAAAAAGAAATCAGACGTCGGAAGAAA